GCTTCAAGCGATGACATCGTGATTGATCTCGTCGGTATCTGTGTGCGCCAAGTTTCTGTTGCAGATTCCTTCAGCGAGAGGGTAGCCTGCTTTTATTTACAGCCTGGACTCTTAATCAATCCACCAGACCCCTCACTCCAACGCAGGTCGGCCCAGATCACGACGTGTTGGAACAGGGATCTTCCGGACCCTTGAATGTGAAGTGTGACGGATGCTCCTCTTGAAGAACCGAGAAGCCCAATCGCTGTCGTTGAGCGTGAAGTGGATCGCGACACTTGCAGGTTGCCGAGGGCCTAATGCCGCTCACGTCAGCTGCGCATGCTGCTCAAGTTGAGAGATTCCATTGACAAGACGCCAGATGCCGCGACATATTGGCAGTCGATTTTTTATATTATACTAGGCTACAAAAGGCATACTTCAAACGCTGGATGTATTTGTGACCGGAAGAAATCGCAATTGAAAGCAAAAGCTCGCTCTAACCAGGCACCAGTTTACCCGCCAAGCAGCCCCGCTCTCCCGTTGGTCCAACATATCATGCCGGAGATGCACTCTGAAAAGGGACTTTGGAAGTCAAACGGTACCCAGTCTGCGAGGTCTTTTCTCAAGTGGGTTATCAGTGCCGCTGAAGAGTCGATATTGCAACGGCAAGTTGCAGAAACGCTGCAGGGTCTCCGAGTGTGGCGCGCCGTACCTGCACCACCGATATGCGACCCATCATGTTGACACGCGTTCTTTTTCGGCAGTCATGCGATGGAGGACTTGATAGGATTGATCGGAAAGCTCAAAAAGAACGTCGACGTCTTCCGACTCGGCTCCCTCATTGGCAGAAGGGATTTGAGCCACGTGCAGCACTAACTTTTCGAAAACTTTTATACCCTTCGCATCGTGGATGTTATCAATCCACATGACCTTTGCGAGATTCTCCTTTGCTTTTGGCCAGGTGTGACTGAGCGAATTGCGCAATGAAGCCAGCTTTGGTAACAGCCATACATCGTCGTTATCATCGAACACGGCCGTAGACCCGATGACTAGTATCCAGGCTAGTAGAAGTCTCGATGAAGGTGTTTCCACTCGCGACAGGTCAACTGCCTGTAGCGTCTCCCGAAGCCTGTTTGATAACCAGACGAACCGCAATCTGGCACCAAGAATGTGGAGATAGAGTGTCGCAATGAAGCCAAGCATGGCCAGACGCAAAGATTCCGCCATGGAACCGTCATCCAGCTCGAGGTAGAGCAGCCGATACTGAATAGAAGTCATGAGTTGTTGGAACTTGATAGGGTCTATCTTCTGTGTTCGGAACAAGATTTTCACCATGCTAGAAAAGTCTTGTAGATCTTGGAATATGTAGCCGAGCCGGAGATCAAGAGACTCAACAAAGTTTCGCATAGGAGAGGGCCCTTGTGAGGGTGTAACTCCCCCGGGTGAAGGACCTAGAATGGAGGCGAATGCCGGCTCGTAGGAAAGGTTATCGCTAAAGTACACCGGACTTTCTCCCGTGATGAGCGACCAGCCGATATCAACGCTGATCTGGGTAAGCCTTCTGAATAGACGCGGCCGACACGATAGACTCACCGGCATATCTTTGCAAAGAGCTGTAGGTTATGTCTAAAGCTCTCAATTCCGCCTCTTAGTTTGACTATTTGCCGAAGACCAGCAACATGCGCAGCTGATGCCGCATGATCTCCGAACATCTCTGCCACCATACTCATAGTCACAATTGTGGCGACCGTTGAGTCCGCGATGGCCATTTCCTTGGAAGCAATGTTCTCGTTCAGATAGGTCAACGACTTGCAAATATGGTAGTTGGTTTTCTTGCTTCGCTTGCTTCCCAGAAGCCAGTCATGTAACATCGCGACAGTGAAGAGGACGGAGTGTAGATAGGCTGGATCCACCAGCAGCCAATGGAACCACGGAGTCTTGCTTGCGTCAAACCGAACGCACCACTCAACAGGGTACATGGCTTCCTTGATTATGGCATAGACTAAGCATTAATGAGTATGACTGGATCTGATTGGAAGGGGGGTCCAAGACGACGTACATTCGAATAACATCTCTTTTGAGCTCGAGTCAATCTCATCTGCAAATGGGCAAGCAAAGACGTCAAAAGGGGTACGCAACAGTCTCAGAAGACCCTCCGGTTCGACTTCATCACTCGGGCTTGCAGGGTCTTCTATCATCAGGGGACTCCATGTCGACTGAGGCACCGTTGGCGCGGGATCTGACGTCTGAACACTGTCCGTAGTTATTAGGGCCCTGTCGCGGTTCTGCACGACCCGCGGCCGTGTTGCGCGTGTGTTCTTTCCTCGCATGACATGGCTTCGGATCAACTTGCGGTCACCCGAGTTTGGCTTGCCATTTGAGTCTGCGATGACAAAGGCAAACCCCTTGTTCGCTGATGAAGCGAGTCAGACATGAACACGTTGACAGACATAGAATGCCATACCACCGGACTTCTGTTTTCCCATTATGGACCGCCAAGCTCACTGCAGTGCCCCAACATACGTAGAGTCTGCGGTTTCCAGGCTGCCAGCGATGATCGCCTGACCTGAACTTCTTCCGGCTGCTGTCGGGTTGCACGTGGCTGAAGCTACCGGAGATGAGCAATGCTAATTCCGCAAGTGTAAGTTTTAGATGAGTGGCCGACTCTCGCTGGCCGGAGTAAAGCTGTAGGCCAAGAGTTGAAGTCTACTGTTGACCCAAAAGGGAATGCAATGAAGAAGCTGAGGAGTTAAGGTCTCAGAGACAGGTAGGCTGAAGCAAAAGCCGTTTGGTGCGAAGACACGTGCCCAATGGATCCTTACTGTTCCTTCATTCATCGTAAGCCTACGCTGTCGCGTACCCCGCTCCGGTGCTGAGCGCCACAAGCCCAGTCATGCTGACACTCGATTGTTGCCCTCTTCCGGCCTAGCGGCTTTCTGCGAGGATTCGTTCCCCAATAAGATTACTTAAATGGGAGAGCAATCGAGGAAAAACACACGGGTATCCGCTTTTAAACCCTTTTGTTAAGCCCGGAGCACGCGTGGTGTATCCCCGAGCTGTTCCGGGATCAAGGCGCAATCAAGTGGGGCTTGGTGCCGGTCGGACTGGGTGACTCCCGGGCTCGGGCCCGGTGACGCTTCCGAGCATGACCATTTACCCCTTTAGGTCATCATTCGACGTCTTTTCATAAGGGCAAAACAAGAGACTTATGCCCAAAAATGGATGGGCGAAGCAATGACGAGCTTCATTATGTACAGGTGCTGATGACTTCATGTCTTTCCTCAAAATATAAGAACACCACTGAGACGACAAGATGGAGAGACTCAAACACACCTTCAACGACGACATTGAACACTTACATCGCAATTTCCCCAGCAAAAGCTTACAGCAAATATCGCATACCCATACAGCCCACCACATTGCCTCTTATCATGACGAGCTCCATCAACCTCCCGCCCCTGACCTCAGGCACAATGGGTTTGACAGTGAAGGCCATGTGCGCCAAACCGCAAATGCCTCCCAACGATCTCTCGCTCTCCGGACAGACTGCAATCATCACAGGCTCCAACGCCGGGATCGGTTTGACTTGCGCGGAGATGCTGCTGGAGCATAAGCTGAGCCATCTCATCATGGCTGTACGATCTCAGAAGAAGGGAGAGGAAGCCGCATCAAAGTTACGCCAGACGCATCCTTCAGCCAACATTGAAGTTTGGCCTCTGGACATGATGTCATACGATTCCATCCAACAATTCGTTGACCGGTGTGCCACGCTTCCCCGCATCGACTTCGTCATCCTCAACGCCGGCATCGTGAAGGAACATTTCCAGCTCTCGCGGTATGGGCACGAGGAATCAATCCAAGTGAACTACCTGTCAACGGCGCTCTTAGCTATACTCCTGCTTCCAGTTCTGAAAGCAAAGAAGGTCGATGGAAAGGCCCGGACTCTATCCATCGTCAACTCGGGTACATCCTTGATGGCCAACTTCAAGGAAGCCGACAAAGTACCTCTTCTGCCTGCCTTCGACGATGAGAAGACGTTCAACAACCTCGAGCGATATCCAAACTCGAAGATTCTGGGCCAGTGCTTCATGATCAAAATCGCCGAGTACGTAAGAAAGGAGGACGTCGTCGTCAATCTTGTCGATCCCGGCTTGACCAAGGGAACGAATCTACACACCAACCTGAGCGGCATACTGAAGGCGTTCATGGGAGCGGCCAAGAGCCTTACTGGAAGGTCACTCGAGAAAGCCGCATCAACCTATGTCAATGCCGCGGTGGTAAGAGGGGAAGAGACCCATGGCAGCTTTCTCATGGACTGGGAGATCTCTCCGTAAGTTTGCCTTCCAAGTTAGTAAGAGCTTAGCTAACATGACTGTCAAGATTTGCCTCCATGTTATACGAACCGAAGGGAAAGGCAGCCACTGAGCGCCTTTGGGAGGAGACTATGGAAGAGCTCGAGTTTGCCGGGGTTCGTTCGATCCTTCGATCCATGCAGGCAGGCTCGAGATAAGAACCGGGCAATTTCTGGGGAACCTTTGGCCCGCCAGTCTGGATTGCTCTTTGGTTTGCTGAAGTTGGGTGGTATGCATGGAGTTTGGGCGTTGACGGATCCCATCGAGGCGATGTATCTGTTGGACAACGGCCACCAATTTAGCGAGCGTGCAAATAGACGGTTCTCTCATGGTCGAACATATGAGCTTATAGATTTCTTTGGTACTTCGTGGCTAGCTTCATTACTGTAATAGAAAGCGTTCTTCTTTCGGACTATTCCATGTATGTCTCCTTCTTGTCTTGTGAGCCCAACGAAAGTTCTTCGAAAGTTCTTCCTTGGCAGCGTCAAAAGTTCCTGCCGTCTCACTTGAAGGATCGGTCGAGAAGTATCGAATGGCAGAGCCGTTGGCGGTGGTATACTACGGCATCACTGCGCCAGCCTAATAGGCCTCGGCCAACCTCCCAAATTGCACGCATGGCGTGTTTTCGGTTCGCCTCCACAGCTCTTGACCAGAGGCCGGATGAGATGATTACGTAGATTGTGAGAGTTGGAGGATGCTCTCAGCCTTAAACAGTTGGATCAACAAGCAGTTCGCATTTCCAAGGCGCAGATCAGCATAGCGTCTGTTCGCTGTCTCCGAGATTCTGGCCATGATCTAAGCGAGGCATATCAAGTCCGTACCCAGTTGACTTACATGGTGATCCTGACGCCATTCGACCCGGTGGCAAGACGCCCAGTTCGTGAAAACGGGGGTCTGAATGCACCCATCCAGCTGATAGAGACCTTCACGCAGTTTGGAGGGCACCCGATAGGCTAGAACCGGTTCGAATTCCTCGCGCAGAGTCCCCTTTCATCTGGCAACTTCACGATACTACCCGAAGATCTGGAAATAGCAATGGCATCGCGGAGGGAGGCAATCAACCAACAACAGTCTCGCACTCTCTCCATTGGCCTCTCAAGGACCTTCCGCAAACTGACGACCCGGTACGATGGCCGATTCCAGCCATGCAACCGATGCCAAGCGGTCGGGTACACTCCAGACTCCCAACAGCCTGTCAATGCATGCCAAGAATCATTATCAGTCAGGGATAATGAGGGGGACAGTCCTCGACCAATAATTTAAGCTGCGATAGCAATTCTGCTCAGAGGCATTTGAGGAACATGGTGGACTCAGCTGGGGAGCTGAGGTTTCCTGGAAAAGACAGACTACCAAGACTTCCAAGACGGCACCATGTGCCCAGACGGAGCATTGGCATCGCCAAGTCAGGACCTAAAAGCCGCGAACCGAGACATCGTCTACGACGATTTGCGCGACCCATGGTCTTTACTACGGCTGCAATAGAGTCTTTGGTGATACTTTGAATTCAGAAAAACCGAGACACTGTAGAAAGTTCCCATCACAAGCTCCGAATGAAGAAGGCCCCTTCTACAGAGCAGGAGAAGTGCTGAAATTGTGCCCCGGGCGAGTCAGTGCATCTCGCTGCCAAGCGCGTCACCGCGGTGAATCGGTTCGAATACGGAAGCTTTCCTTTGGCCGGAATAGCCACATGACTGAAGGTTCCTACCAGTTGGTTCGGTGTTCGGGACAGTAGAAAAGTGTCGAATGAGGGGATCCATGGTTACGAGCCTGCCTTTCACGGCCAAACCTGCGGCACGGCGGCTGCACCACGAGCGCCCTACCGAAGGCATCAATTGAGTCGCGCCGCACAAACGTTCCTGACGATAGCTTGGCGCGAGAGAAAGGTCTTGGCGGATGGGCCTGACTTTAAGCACTTTGTCGAGCAAATTGCCCCGGAGAGATAACGATCACGCGCGCTGTTGCGGTTGCGATAACGGTGGAGGGGATTACGCCATGCGACGACGGACCGGGGAGGGGATAAGATTGAGGGACGCGCGCCTCCAGTTGGTGTTGGGGACGGAATCGACCTGCCCGAAGAAGAAATCTGGAGAAGAAACCAGTCCCGGTCTGGTTTAGACGAAGCGAAAGTCTGCTCGTACGACTGGCCAGCTGTCGCAGGGAACTCGCTGCAAATGGCTGGTGTACGTTGTGAACATGAAATTAGTACCTTTTCTTCTCCCTGTTGGCAGATGGCTCGAAGGAAATCCCGCCTGGAGAATACGAAACCCGCGTTGCTTGATGAACCTGGTTTCCTCTGGTGAGGAGAGGATGCTTTAGGGATCATTGTTAGCGTGGGGGAAACCGAGGTGCTCGGTTTTGAGAGAGTAGGATTCTTGCCAAAGCAATGAGAAAATCCAGCCAATGTCGGGACAGAAAATCAGCCGGGGCGATTGATAGGACGCGTTGTCGACCCATCTAATAAGCTGCCGATACTAGGAGCTCGTGAGGGGGCTAGCCAGGGTCGACATTGGTGGCCCCCTCGCCGACCGTCAAAAAGTTCCTCCAGAAGAACTCTCCTGCGGCAGACGAGCACAGGTTAATCAACTTGCCACCTTCTGTCTGGCCGGATGATACCACTGGAGGAGGCCTGACGCATGTGAATGGCCAATGGGGCATGCAAATCCCCAGACGTCTGGCCGATAAGACACGGGGAGACGGAGCTGGTGCTTGTGAGAGGGGAAAGGAAAGACAGCCGGGGCTGGCCGTTGTCTCTGGATGAACGTGCTTCCCGTCCCACGAACGTAACGACTCGACTTTTCAGCTGTTCATCTCAGGCCTGGTGAGGCGGCGATGGTGTGCAGCGAGAACACATGGCGGACAAGCTTTTTTCGGGCAAGATCTCTTGACACTGCACGGATGGCAAGTCTTGGGCGTCTTGGAAGCATATCGCGATGGTCTTGGAGCTCTTGGAAATCGCCTTGGAAAGCTTGTGAGTCTTGGTCGGTCTTGGGAGGCTTGGGAGGCTTCGGGGACGGCGCCACTCCCTCTCCCTCGCAGGGTCCAGCGGGTTCAACGCCCATCTTTGATCATGTCCGTCTTGGTGTTCTGGCCAAATTTGCCAAGATGTTAGTCGCCTATGCCGTCGACTAGTGCACAACCCTGAAGACGGAAAACAGATGCCGACGTTTGATTCGTTGGTAGGGCTCAGCCATGCGTTGCGTCCAGCCACCACACCAAGAGGATGAACAACCGTTTTCCAGCATCCTTCTATGCTTCTTCGATGCCAGCCTGACAGTGCTTCCCGGGCATGTCTCTCGGCGGCCACGATGTCTAGAATGTTGCATTGCAACGTGATGTGTCAAGAGCTGAACCAGAGCTTTTCGGTCTAGTTAAGTCTCTTCATGTGGTATGTGTAGAAGCGAAGCGGCACAGCGAATAAGACTCGCAGATCTTCAACGATTAGGGTCTGAGGAATGCGTTCAAGGGCTCAGAGTACCGTGCCCGGGCGCCCTCCCAGTCCGCTCCGCGACCCAACAAGGGTTCACCTCACCATCCCCCCATCTTATCGCGCGCTCCCCGCCGGCCCCCAAGCAAGAAACGGACTTCAAGACGACGTTCACTTCTTCCGCGGAGGCTCCCTCACACTGATTGATCACCGGGTCAGTCCCACAAGAGGTACGACTTGCCAGACGCAGGGCGTTGAGTGTACAGTACGGTACTGCGTGCACCCGCAAGCCCACGCGCGACACAACGCACACAAGCAGCGCCGTTACGGTCAGTGCCGAAAGAGACCCCGAGATGGGCACAGATGGCACGCAGCGACGGATAGCCACCTTGCCACCAGCATCCCCCCGCCACTGCTTTTGCCGGGGGAGATTGCAGATGGTGTGGGAGCCGTAGCAGCAAATCATCCTCATGCCGGTTGATGAGAAGGCAGGATTTGCGAATAGAAGAATTGGTTCGCCGACCGACAACCTGTCTTCAGCCCGATCGACACCGAATGAGAAAGGGCTGCACTCTGTCTGCGGGCGGAAACGTCGCACCACGATGAAGCCATCGCGATTGCGACTTGAGTTGCGCCCAGTCCCAAGAATCAACGTCCTGGTTTGATTGGGAGGATGGATTGCCTGCACTCGTCGTACAGTAGTTGCTCTCAAAAGTTCCTCGGCCGAGAGCTGTCTAACTTTGCCTTACCAGATCAAGGTCGTCCGAGGTCCCGACTGCATGGGATGACTGAAGGCCGGCGGAGACCCGCGAATCTAAGGAAAGAGATATGCGCCATCTCAGGCGTGAAAGATGCCAACGGCGACAATGGCGGAAGCTCTTGCGCCTTGAGAGAAGGTTCCATACCACCCATGCAATGCACCAGGGATCCCTCTGCGTTGGACTTGATGCCCCGTCTGCAGGTTCGCAGTGACTGGGACTGATCCCGGTGGGTAGCCGGGAGGTGGAGGTGGCATTCGTTTCCGTCCGTCCCCCCCAATCCAGGAAAAGAAGTGAGGATGAACCACAAGAGGGCCGCAGATAGGCATCTTGCCGTCCATGTTTGTTCATGGAAATGTATCCGTACCTTCTCTGTCCTGATATGGCCGGGGCATCTTGCCTCGATCCTTCTCACGTTCCTTCTTCTTCATTCTGCTCTTCGTCATCATGTCTCTCATCCTTCCTGTCTCACGCTCGGCTGGGCAAGCCACCCAAAGCGGGCAAAGTAAAGACGCACATCGATCCCTCCTCCAACGCCCGGGAACCTTTGATATCGGCCATGTCGAATGCAGAAGGTAGAGATGTCTGCCGCCAGGGTTGCACTGCACCCTCCGGCTGCACGTCCAGACGAGGGGGGCGGCTGGAAGTCCAGCCCTGAACATGATCACCCATGCCACATCACCCCTGCCTTCTGAAGAGGAAGCTCTGTCCATCCCAGCCTATGCCGTCCCAGCATCGAGTCCCATCTTGGGGGGCAAGGGGTCCTTTCCTGAGGATCGTCTTGTGGCAACACCGACTGTCACCATCGTCCTGCCCGTTCGTTGCCAGGCGGTTGGAACCCCCGGGTCCCACCCGTCGATAAGCATATGGATGGCGAGCTTGGGCCGGTCGCCCTCGTGGCACTGGATATTAAAAGGTCTTGATGTCCTCGTCCCCTCTTTCCCCGTTTCTTCTCGTTCCTCGGTCACTGGCATATTTCCAGCCCAAAAGTCAACGGGTCCTGCAGATCAGCCCCTCCGTACCTTACTCAAGGTGAAGAGTCCTGACCCAGCGCAACCATGTCCGAAATCCGTGAACAACGGCCCGCCGCCCAGGGCGGCGTGGTCTCCAACGAGAAGGCCGAGCCCGTAAGTACAATGTCTTAGGAGGCTCACTTGAGCCTCAACTCACAGGACGGTGTACTAAGTCGCTTGACCTAGTTCGTCGACGCTCATCCCGAGGGCACCGACTACAATGAGCACGTAGAGATGGAGCTCAACGTCACCGAGGACGATCTGCTCGAGGCCAAGGAGCTCGCTTCGCAGATGTCCCTTGAGGAGGTTCGCGAGATGATGTTTAACGTCCACAAGATCCACGAGAAGGACCCCAACTTCCCGCTCGTCATTATCGAGAAGATTGAGGCTTTCCTCCAGAACGACGACGTCTTCGAGAACCCCGAGAAGCACGAGACTCTGATCCAGGAGATGAAGCTCGAGGCCGCCCTCATCACGGGCAACTCGCCCTACTCTGAGGTGCGCGCCGTCGTCGACAACCATGACGACCCCACCATGCCCTCGTCGACCATTCGTGCATGGGTTATCGGTCTGCTCTTCTCCGCTCTGCTCGCCTTTGTGAACCAGCTCTTCTCCGTCCGCTACCCGTCTATCACGATTTTGGCCAACGTTGCCCAGCTGCTCGCTTACCCCTTGGGTAAGTTGTGGGAGAAGGCTCTTCCTGACGTCGGCTTCACTGTCTTTGGCTCCCGTATCTCGCTCAACCCTGGCCCGTTCAACCGCAAGGAGCACATGCTCATCACGATCATGGCCAACGTTGCGTACAACATCCCGTATACTAACTACATCATCTGGACTCAGGTAGGCTTCTACCCGGTGCAACTTTGCACCTTGACGATGAACCTCAACTAACAGTACTGTCCAGTGGCTCCCCCAGTTTTTCAACATGCCGTATGCCGCCAACTTCGGTTACCAACTCCTCATCTCGCTGTCAACCAACTTCATCGGCTACGGTCTGGCCGGTCTCTGCCGTCGTTTCCTCGTGTACCCCTCGTACTGTGTCTGGCCCGCGTCTCTGGTGACCATCGCCCTGAACGCCGCCTTCCACAGCGACAAGAACAGCACCGTTGACGGTCCTTTCCGCAGTGTCTGGAACCTTAGCAGACAGAAGTTCTTCTACATCGCCTTCGCTGCCATGTTCGTGTGGTTCTGGTTCCCCAACTACATCTTCACGGCTCTCAGCACCTTCAGCTGGATGACCTGGATCGCGCCCAACAACCGCAACCTGGCCACCATCACCGGCTTCAACAGCGGTCTTGGATTCAACCCCTGGCCCACTTTCGACTGGAACATCCTGTGAGTACTGCCATTGGGTTTGATTCACGAGAACACTTACTAACGGGCGCAGTCTCTTCGACAACACTGACCCCTTGATGGTTCCCTTCTTTTCCACCTTCAACAAGTTCCTCGGAACTCTCATTTCCGGCTTCGTCATCATCGCCGTCTGGTACACCAACACCTACAACACCGGATACCTCCCCATCAACTCCAACAAGGTCTACGACCACTTCGGCAAGCTGTACAACGTGTCGCGCGCTGTCAACGAGCACGGTCTCTTCGATAAGGAGGCCTACGAGGCTTACTCCCCCCCGTTCCTGGGCGCCGCCAACACCATGATCTACATGTTCTTCTTCGCCATCTACACCGCCACCATTACCTACGCCATCCTCTACCACCGGCATGAGATCGCTCTCGGCTTCAAGGCTCTGATCGGCAGCTTCCGCAAGAACAGCGACATCGAGAAGGACCAGGTCCTCGACGTCCACAACCGTCTTATGAAGGTCTACCCCGAGGTTCCTGAGTGGTGGTACCTCCTCACCCTCATCGTCGCCATTGCACTTGGCTGCGCCGGTATTGCCGCTTGGCCCACGTACACCACCGTTGGTGTCGTCTTTTATGGTATCATCCTCTGCCTGATTTTCGTCGTCCCTGTCGGTATCATCAAGGCTATGACTGGTATCGAGGTCACCCTCAACGTGCTTGCTGAGTTCATCGGTGGTTCCTGGGTTGAGGGTAACGCCCTGGCCATGAACTACTTCAAGTCCTTCGGCTACGTCACCTGCGCCCACGCCGTTTGGTTCTCCAACGATCTTAAGCTTGCGCACTACGTGAAGATTCCCCCTCGTCATACTTTCTGGGCTCAGATGGTCGCGACGCTCGTGTCTACCCTCGTGTGTCTCGGCGTCTTGAAGTTCCAGATGACTAGCATTCCGGGAATCTGCACTGCCGATGCCAAGTTCAAGATGACCTGCCCCGGCATCAACACCTTCTTTACCGCCTCTGTCCTTTGGGGTACCGTTGGCCCCAAGAAGATCTGGGGTGCCGGTGGCCAGTACACTGAGACCCTCCTCGGTTTCCCTCTTGGTGTTGCCGTCGTCCTCATCTTCTGGGGTCTTGGCAAGGCCTTCCCCCGCTGGAAGTGGATCCGCCAGATTCACCCCGTCGCCATGATGTACGGTGCTCTCGTCTGGGCTCCCTACAACATGTCTTTTGTCTGGCCCTCCGTCCCCATTGCGTACTTCTCTTGGGTCTACCTCAAGAGCCGCTTCCTTGGCTTCTGGTCCAAGGTAAGTTTTCACTATCCCCCTCTTGACTGTTGTGTGCAGTTACTGACTCTCTTTGCAGTACAACTTCGTTCTCTCCGCTGCCTTCTCTTGCGGCATTGCCATCTCCGGCATCATCATGTTCTTCGGCCTTCAGTGGCAAGATATTGAGGTTGACTGGTGGGGTAACAGCGTTGTGTCAGAAGGCTGCGAAGGTCTGGCTTGCCGTCTCAAGACCCTCGCGGACGGCGAGTACTTCGGCCCTCGCATCGGCGACTTCCACTAAGGAACCCCGTCGTTTGCGGATCTCGCGGCCTGGCCGTCGCGGTTGTGCTTTTCGTGTGTTTTCAGCGCATGTATGATGTGATGAAAAAGACTTTGAAGACCAGAAGGAGCATGGTGGAATTGGCGTAATTTGGTGAAGGTAATGAGACGAAGTATGGAGACAATACCCCCAAACACTCTTTTGCGATATTGCGGAAGACTTCAATGAAGAATGTTTCTCTTCCGACCTGGAGCTCGTGACTTTGTTCTGAAATCAGCGGTGCGACTCATCAGTCGGATATGAAATGAAGTGACCGTGCTTTGATCGTGACCAGTGACTTTCGTGGCAGCGACGCGTAGCATGGCGGTGTAGGTCGTCTCGTCGTGACCCGAAAGAGGCGATTGGGCAAGCTGGATCCCGTAGAACCCTCTCAGGATTGAGGTGTCGTGTACAGGTCGAGCAGCTATCTTTGATTGTTGAGATGTGTGCAGTTGAAAGCAGCAAACCTGAGCCATGTCGTCAACGAAGTAAAGGTTGGTAGTCTGTATTAATGCCATCTTGGAACCAACTTGGCCCCGCAACAGCTCCCGGTTCGGTGCCGCACCGGCGTGGCTGTGCTAGATAGCTCGGCGATCTGGCATGACCAGTGCATACTGGGCATGATGCTGGCGGTGGGTGACTGATTGCAAGAGAGCCCTAGAGATTGGGTTGTGGGGTATTCAAGACACCTGAACATTGTTTTGGGGGCATTCTCGCCTTTCCACATAAGTTCACCCTGGCGTCAGCAGGCGTGAGGATAGCTTGTGTTTGAGTCGGTAAACGAAGTTGCCGAATGGGCTGTGGTGTGGTGGCCACCGACGGCCCCAACGCCTGTGTACCGTGAGTACTCGAAGCAGCTTTTCAAGATGGCAGCCTTCGAGTTATAAAAACCCGGCGGTAAGAGAACTATCCAAACAGAATTTGTTTCTCAATCAAGTAATATTGCTAGAACGGTCTAGTCTTATCAATACCGCAATATCGACTGGCTCTGACGGCACAGCTGACAGGTCTAAAGTTCGCCCGGCTTACGACACGGAAAGCGTACCCGAATCTGCCGCTAGTCACCGGAACAATACCACTTCATAGCTAGGCATATTTCTCGTTTGGGCAATGAAATATTCGCCATAACAAACTGTCTTTATTCACATCCACTTCTCTTCTCCCTAATTACCAAGAGACCACCTAATTTTCCTATGTGTGGGTGGCTACGTTTCCTGTGAACTTGGTCCCTTTTACGAGGACGACGACGAAGGACGACGATGATAATCCTAATAATGACAGTAACTATGATAGTGACTATAATGGCAATGATGATAGCGAGCACACAAGAAAAGTGTTCGCTCTAGCGCAGAAAAGTCGGGGGTCTGATTAGAAAACTCCAGGTAGCACAGCTTGCAACTAACTTACTGGGACCAGCTCGACCAGCCAGTCGAGAACTTCAGGTTAGACGCCTGTAGTCAAGTAGGCTTCTTAATCCTATGACAAAGATCAACACTTCCTCGCCTTCACCGCCTCACAAGAGAATATCACACTGAGTTTGACAAGGCACCAGAAATAAGCCCAAAGTAATCTCAGGTGATATAAAGAAAGAGATGTTACGAGACGTTCAGCGTAGTATATTCGAATTGGCTCAAACTATTGTTATGGTAGTTCTAGAAGATGCAAGCTCATCAGCGCCAAACTCCTTTACGTTTTGAAGAACTGCGCCAATTCTTCTCATACAGCCTGGCCGGTCCACTGCAGGAGTGACATAAATCCCATGAGCGCAGGGATCCTTCCGCTCGGGGTCCGGTCTTCCTGGTCCGCCATACGTGTAAGCCAACATCAATGCGTACACTTCCATCGACCTGATGAGCTCTGCACTGGCTTCATAGCTTCGGTTAATGGTATCCAGCATGCCAAAGCAATCACCGCCTCCCTTATCGCTTCGGAACAGCATATGGCCTGTGGGCCCCTTCGCATCGGAGAGCGACATCTTGACCAGGGGCGCCTCGAGCTTGATCCAGCCGTCTTTCACGCGACCGAAGGGGTTGTCCCCGTCGATTTCAACCTTGGCTTCAAGAATACTTGCCACTTCTTCCGTCACCCCAAGTAAGCCGGTCGCCGGTATTCCGTCGACTGAGGCCCAAGACCATGAGGGTGCGCGGTATTGCTCGATGGATTTACAGCGCAGAGCTTGCCAGCATAAGCCTTCGATCAAAGACCCACGCCAAAGACCAGCCAAGTATCCATCCTTAAAGCTTTTGCTCAAGGACTTGGCAATGCCAGAGAATGCTGGAAGCTTGTCCAGAGGATTTGTCAACTCTCGCGGGCCGTACTCCCAGAGGAGTTCGTGCCAATTTCTCGTCAAGGTGGAGGAGTGGTCGAGTCCTTCCCACCTAGGATTTGTGGGATGTGCATTGTTACGACGCTGGTCGACATACTCCACAAGCTGGGTGTCATCGTTGATGAAAGGTATGCGGTAGTTCAGCTTCAGTCCTTGCTCTGCTTCAAACCCTTCAAGACATTCCCAGTACATCTGCTGGCTTGAGAAGTGCAGGATTCGGCGAGCGAGAACACGTTCCTGGAAGCCCCACGCTCTCTTCGTGAGAGGCTCCTTTTTCATCCGCATATGAAATTGGTGAATGGTATCGTGATCGAGGGTTAAGGCCGTTGCCAAGATGTACTCATCTGGAGAAGAACCCTTCCGTGGAAGTTTGAAGTAGGTTTGAGGGGTTCGAGCTGACAGTAAACCTCCATTGGTATCGCCGGACTTTACAGCGGCAAGCGTCAGATACGAGTTCGAGTACACAGCAGCCATTTGCGCTGACTCTCGTTCCCAGTCCTTCAGGTCATCCTGACAGATACACAGGCTGTCGATCCAAAGGTATCTTACCCCGACCATCCGAGTCAGAGTTACAGCGTCTCGAAGAGTTTGCGGAAGTTGATTGATATCAATACCGTCTCTTCGAGCCTGGATAGTCTCACTAGTGGTAACAAAGTGTTTCTGCCCCTTTCCCCAACAGTAACTGAGGGTAACATACCGGTTACAGAGGTCAGGGTCCGGCTGAACGAGTTTAATGATTGACCCAGAGTCTGACGTGCCAACGTCCAAAAGGCGAGTTGGCATTCGAGCGTGCTGCGCTTTGCAGTGCGGGTGCTCGTCGCAGGCTTTGAGCCACTTGAGAATGAGGTTCAATGTGGTTTGGTTCGGAACCTCTTTTAAAACGCGGTCGCTAGAGCCGATAGAGAGAGGATCATCTATCAGTTGTTTCTGTCAGTCACAAGATGCAATCAGAGCGTCTTGGGAATCCAGACACTACTCACCTTCATCAGAAGCAAAGCCGATCGATGCGACGGGCATCAAGCAATATCGACCCTCGTCTCCAACGCTGCTGCAAACAACCCAGAATCCGTCGCCGCCAGACTCGCCACGTTGAGTCAACCACATGTTCCAGTCAGGAACCCACTTGTATGCACCCAGATTTGGATGTTCTAGTGTCTTAATCTCCTCCAACAGCGCATCGACCTCCTTCTCAATTGCCTGACATAGAACGCATCCGTTGATTGATGCTTGACGGAGCGAAGCAAGATCGGGATGGTACGGAATACCCATACATGGAATGGGTTTCCCTTTCTCATGATCGTCTAAGATAATGTGCTGGAATCTCTGTTTCCCACTTAGAGTTCTCGTGGTCTTGTCGTCAGGAAAGGGGGCCAGGTCTTCCAATGGAAGAGACTGGCAGAGGCTACAGAGAAGCATGATGCCTAGAACCCTACAAATGGTGTGAAATGGTATCAAAGTCGAGAGAACATTCGCGTAAGTCTTTTCAGATCACGGAACTACTACAGTTGAAATAAAATCGGGTTGTGTAGCTTTGGTGGCGATAGAGACGCAGATCATTCCTGTCTCATGCCGTCAGCAGTGTCATGCCCCTCCATGTGACCACTATTCACTGTGGCTAACGTGAGGGCCAAGCCATGGATGCTTAGGGGCAAGGCCGGCCGCCTGCAAGTCTGCCTCGGCGGATCCAATCTTCAAAGATCGACGCAAAAGTATGGACGACCATTCTTCTTCGCATACGTATGTGTGCTCGCATTTACTGCGCTGGCTATGAAGAGACACTATGCCGAGAGCGCGCACCGCTAAACAAGTCGAATCATCATGTTTATTATCATCATACTCGTCTCCGCCAACTCTGTTGTCTCTGTTTTCCAAGTAGTCCATGCAACTGTCCGTCCGGTCTCCGTCCGGAAGGCAAGACTCTACCGAGAAATCGGAACTTGAAAATACTAGGATGGACGGGAAAAGCCAGACACCGACAGAGCAGGCAGAAAGGCAGCCGGGCGGCCGCTTATTTGCGCGCCAAGGAAACAGCTGAAGACCCCCTGTGCGCCAGGTTGCCGTTTTGCTGCCTGCATTTGGACAGTGCAGGGTTGATCGCTGGTGCCATCATACCTAAATGCTGACAGACAGTAGGCGAACTAGAGGAAAGGGACTTTGGTTTCTCAACGTGTCATTTGGCAGCGCACACAAAGCCAGGGTTTATGGCGGCTGCGTCTCCTGAATTCAGCCTGCTCTTCATAATAAACGTTGTTGTACATTCTCGAAGGCCAAGCACCACTGTCGCCCCCTGGGTGGTCATGTACCAATTAACCTGTCTCATACCCCGGGAGCCTTGCCATAACCTCACGTCTTACCAATACACTGGAGTCGACATCCTTAGCGCCGAGACTCACGACTGGTGGGCGCAAACAAGCTTTAATTAAACTATGGATGCACCTAGCCTGATCTAGCGCCCGTTGCAAGGGCTCTCTGGACCCCACGTTCTTAAATACCGTGTTCCTGCGGCACAGTTACCAATTTCCTTGGTCTTGAGCAACCAGAAGGGTTGTTTACCCCCTGTCATCATTGCCGTGTCGGCGGGATTTGTAGGGATTCGATCGTTTTGCAAGAGTAAAAAGGATCTTCATGCTGGATTGCCAAGACATGCGATGTCTCCTTGCACGACCATCCATCAAATAAGCCAGACGATGTGGTGCTCCGTAGTGAACCTAGCGAGTGGGAGCCGGAGAGATCCAGCCGATACTTATGGAGACCTCTTCGTCTCTTCCCCCCAGGGGCTTGAAAGGTAAAGTTCTGACTTCAGGTTTGTCGATGTCACATACGGTCTTTCGGATTCTGGTTTCTTGCCCATTCCCACCCGTCACATAGTTAGCAGGATTTGCCATGGATCAACCACGACAGTCTGCCCAACCAGGACTCGAGGTCACGTCACACTACGACACCACTCCAGTAACTCTCGAGGCCCACCACTGGACATCACCATCGCAGAACGGTTCGGCTCCAAGTCACGACACATCTCACGAGCAAAAGATACTAGCGGGTCATGGGTACGAGTCAACGGGACACAACAACGGATATACGAGCGCATACTACCAGAACGAAGCAGGAAGCACAGCTCAAGACAATGCAAAGCGCAGAAGGCCTTGGCTGCTCATCGTACTCGGCGGAGTGGCGACGTTCGTTCTTGCAGGTGTTGTAGGCGGTATAGCAGGCTGGAAGATTACATCCAACCAGAACCAAGAGCCAGCCCCAACTGTCCCGGGCTCTGACGGTAGCACGCCATCAACGAGCGCAACCAAGATAGTACCGAACTCAGGGCTCGCAGCTGTTGGTTATCGTTATGGAACTGACATTACCCTACACGTCTGGCTCCAGGGACCGGACTCTTTGTTGAGACGGTTGCAGTACATGAGCATCTACCAAAACTGGACTGCACCATTGGAGGTCGACGCAGCGCCCAAGGTGGGCTCGCCCTTTGGGGCTAGTCAGTTCTGGACGAAGCCAGATGAAGTATGTGCCTCCTCACGTCACCCCAAGTTATAGGTGCTAATCAACGAAGCCACTTCCGGTCATCCCCCAAGCCGAGCTGTTTTACATTGGATCAGGGGAAAAGATATTGGGCGTGAACTGGCGAGAGGGGTTCACACGTGGAGGCCTAAGTGACAGCGTTAACAATGGGGGATGGACAGTCGGCAACACCGGTACCCAGATGGCTGCTTACTGGCCCTCAACCATTCTTCAAGCTTCAAATGGGGATGTTATGGAAGTCTTTTTCAACTACAAGTCTCCAGGATTTCAAGAGCCCAAGAGGGTCGGTATCACAGCTTCCCCTGGCTCGGCGCTGGCCATTCTACCCCGAGAAACTACCCACTCCGCTGGCGATCAAACCGCAGCTTCTAGTGCGCGTATTATCTACCGCGATACCACCGGACGCCTGAAGAACTTTGACCGATCCTCAGGCGGCCAGTCTCTCACGTCTTCGGGCGAGATTCCCGTGACGGTCGATTCGAACTTTACAATGGCTGCCTTCGCAGTCGCGAGGGGCGAAGTAGGCGGGCAGAAGTCAACGGCCGTCAACACATGGATTTTGTACCAGGATTCCAAAACTGGAAAGATCTCATACGTTTATGAGAACGACTCTGAGGGGTGGAAAGGCCCAGAAACGGATCCGGTATTCGAAGGAGCTGATAGCCCAACCCACCTCGCATGCGTCACGGCTGCATCATCCACGATCCCCGAGGTCCCATTGGAGGCGGCACACGATTTGAGCCATTGCTTCTTTCAATCCGGACGCAAGTTGAAACATGTCCACTTTGATGGCAGTTCGTGGACGGATATGGGCTTCATTTCCATACCTTGAGGAAGCATAGCGACGACAAGGACGATAGCGATCACACAGAAGTAGGGTGGGGTTGACGTGATGCTTTGGCAAATTCTTCTACCACGGTAGAGGTACAAGCTCGCACAACAGAGCTTATGAAATGAGCGAATCTATGAATTGTAATGAGACTTTGGGTTCAACGTGTCTGAACCCCATTATGGATGTACAATGGGAACCGACAAGCTTTGCTACCCGGGCCGTGTACGTAATTTGATGTTATAATTCCCCGCCATTATGCTTTTCATCCTTGAAGTCGTCCTCTTTCTCGTCCCCGTCGTCGTCCCCGTCGTCGTCCTCGTTGCCGTCCCTGTTGCCGTCCCTGTTCGTCCTCGTCCATCTCTGTTCTCCATGGCCGTCCCTCTTGTTGTCTACCGGTCCCTTCTGGGAGTATAGCCAAAGTCATAATTAGGTTTCAGAGAAAACAAAACAACGTCCCCAATGTTGTCAACCGCGGTGCCTTATCCTCAGAATAGAAGAACCATGTCGCGAGTCAGTGCCCATAGCCTCCTCTGGTATTGTCCTTCGGGGCCAGACTGACGCTCAGGTCTTGGGCGCTGTAAGTTCCCAACGATACAAAGCTCCTCAATTCATGTGAGCCATCGGGGGAGACAATGTTGCCGTCGTCGTCCACGGTCATAACCTTGCTAGGGTGAAACGCGGCTAGGATGAATGTAACCAGGAAGATGAGAGTAGCATCAAAGATGTAGAGAAACACCTCAGTTGTTTGCAAACTAAGGTAAGACACGATAAGTAATCGAAAAGGACAAGTTCGAGCTAGAAGAAACTCACTATCCATCATAACCTTGAATATACTCAATGACGCGAAATAGCGAACGAACAAAGACTAGTACGCTGACGCCGTACAAGATCCAAAGAAACTTGTCCCAAGAGACGGCGTGTCTCAGACGTTGCCCTCGGATTCTAGACTCTTGAGAAATCCGCCGGTGGAAGACTCCAGTGACGGCGATGAAAAGAGCAAAACCAATGAGCTGAATGAAAAGGCCAACGATGATGACATTTTCGCCCAGTTGAATCTTACTCGGCGACTTGGCATTTGTGAGAATACCTCCACCTCCGCTTTGTACCAAGAATGACAAAATATCGCTCGTGATGAACACCTTTGTAAGAATTTCAGGCCTAACGGGACTATAGTCGCGTCCATTTGCTAGGATGATCAGCCGACCTAGCATACCGTAGATGGATGCTGCCAACAGCGAAGGGGCGATGAGTAGCATCAGGGACTGCAGCGCGTAAGGCATAACCTGCCAGTTTGGTGTTTGAGCTGCCGATATAGCACGAGACACATAACCCAGGATTTCGCAGACGATGCCAACTATGAATGGGATGAAGTAGCGAGTTTGTTTTTTGTAACATAAGATCGTGTGCGCGGCGAGGGTGAAAGAGAACAGGACGGTGAAAACGCAGGCTGCAGCCATCGATGGGTCGTATAGATAGAGAGATGCCATAACCTCGCTGTCGCGTCGGTGAAGCGTTGGTGCCATGGTAGTTCAATCGAATCAGGAGTGTGAACGAGATAGGAAAGTTTGTTTCTGGTGGTTGATTCAACAAGCTAAAGATGTTGCGTTGCGTCTTAGGCTTTTAATCTCACTAGTCTTTCATAATAGAAATATTTCTTACTAAATGCACCACAGACAATGTTCAGACATCGCCGGCTTCAATAATCAATGGTGGACTCAAATGCACTCCTTTCTGCCACAGCCAACTCAGCCTCGACTCTAAAATAGCATCATGGTGGATTTAGGCGCCTGAAATTGCCCGTCACGGAACGCGTATGGTGCCTCCCGTTTTCAGGCTATGAGCTACTAGACTACCGGCTATCAAAATCAATTAGCACCTGCCATTAAAGACCATACATTTGGTGGAAGATTCAATCACGACGGTAGATCTTGTGCCTTGCAGCGTCCTCGAGCTTCCGATAAGGCAGGGGTCATTGTCGATGGACCACTTTCCATGCCTGAAAAGCTTCTTCTCGGCCCTACAAAGGCGGATCGGTATTGTCAGCGGGGCCGTGATACACGTAAATGCCTTTATTGTGGAGATACGCGTATTTCATGCCATCTCAAGGATACCATGTCTATGAAAGCGTAATATTTGCTGAACTAACAAGCTCAATAGATGGACCCTGCGCTTTACCACCCGACTGGGGTGTCAGCTACAGACCGGAGTTAAATCATCTTGGCGGACGCCGTCATATTTGGCGGGATCTTTTCCTCGCGTTCCGTGGAGTTTTCCATGGTCGGCATTTCAGACCCGAAGAGTAGCTGCATACCCAGAGAAATCTGCCAGCGGCATGTTCAACTGGGATGTTGCGTCGTCAACGTACAAACAGCAGACCCAAACAAGCCACGCTGATTCAACTAGGATGTTGCGCCGTCAACACAAGAAAAGCAGGAAAGGCTGCACTGAGTGTAAGCGACGGCATATGCGGGTAAGTCTGCTTCCAAACCCAACACCGAGGCTGTTTCCTTCTCATGCGAACGATATCTGATATTCTTTGGGCAGTGTGACGAGCAACGGCCCACATGCTTCAACTGTATCAAGGCTGACCGCCTATGCTCCTTTTCTAGTGAGCCATACACCAGGGTTAGTCGGTCTCACAGTTGTTGGAATACGTCTAATTGACGCTTCAACCAAGAGCCAAGATTCGACCCCCGGATCTGAACATCGTTCTGCTGTGGCATCTCCAAGCGGCAGCTCAACGTGTCCCCAGGCAATCGGAGACCCCGATGCTGTTAACATGCTTCACATGGAGCTACTTCTCCACTTCAGCTTCGATGTGTACGTTCCCGAGTTCGACGACAGCCTTGGTAGACCGGCAACCGAGCTAGTTCTGAAAATTGCCCAGGAGGCTCCTTTTTTGATGCATGGCGTTCTGGCCATGTCTGCGCGTCACCTTTCCATCACCCGGTCCGAACAGTCGGCGCGCTACCTTGATCAGGCATTTAGGTTGCAGACAAGAGCCATCGAGCTATTCAATGCGACACACGACGAGAATGGCCGAGAAAAGTGCATGGCTCGGTTACTGTTTTCCTCCGTCCTCGGTCGTCACATATTGGCGGACGTTCTACGTGACGACGGCTTGGGCTTCCCCAGCTTCCTCAATCGCTTCGCCCAAGGCGTCAGAATTCATGGCGGAGTCAAAGCCGTTGCCGCCCAACAAGACTGGGTGTCTCTTTTGGAGACAGAACTTGGGCCATTGATGACCAGGGGGCTCGCTGCAGACATGTACGACAAGACCGTACAGCCAAACAAGGCGCTGCAGTCTCTCATAGCACACTCGCCTAACTTGGAAGAGGAGGACAAGTCTGCGTGTGAGATGGCCCTTCGCCTTGTGGATACGGGTCTTGATGATCTGAAGGATCCAGGCAGGGTTGATTATGGTCGGCGGATGATGTTCACTTGGTCAATTATGCTCCCCGATCGTTACGTTCGCTTGCTGGAACGACAAGTTCCAGAGGCTTTGGTTGTATTGGCTCGTTATGCCATCTTCTTGCATTTCGGGCAGAACTTTTGGCAGATCGGTGACGCTGGATCGTACCTCCTTCGTTCAATTAGCAGCCATTTGGGACAAGCGTGGCAACCGTGGCTCTCGTGGCCGGAGGACGTAGACCTTTAAAGATGATTTTAGACAGAGGAAAGCTCTTAATTAGGGAACCGGGATACGCCAACGTTGCACTTATCATGTAGATGAGGTAGACTTTACACGCGAACACAAACTTGACAATTGAGCTGGCCCATCGAGCATAAATTACAATGCAATGACAGCCTGCGACTCTGCGCACAGTAAACTCCCAGCATTAAAAGCTCCGGGTTGCTTAAGGCGACAAGAAGTAAGGCAGGTCACAGTTCGGCGTTGAATCTGCCGCGAATCCGCTCCCCAAAGGCGTAGAAGGCAACCAAAATTGGAACCAGAGTCAGTGCTATAAATCCCAATAAGCTTTTTCCCCAGCCCAGACCCAACGCCGCATACATTTCCAAGCCAGATAATGGCAGAAGTGCACCAAGGAGCGACCTCAGAATCGCTAGCGCTGCTGTTACTGAGGCAGCGTACTGCGGATAGGCGTCGATTAGATAGTTCTGGATACAGGTCTGTCGTCTTGTGAGTAGGTTTCTGGCGAGGAAAATTTGGTTAGGCTTACCATAGTGCCCATCAATCCAGCACACATTGCCAAAACCGCCAGCATTGGAACGATCCAATGGACCCCATTTTGCACAGTCCATCCGTATAAAAACAAACCGACCGGCATCGCTAGTCCGCAAGGGACGGTCATAACTGGCTTGAGTCGATCCTCAGGCTTATGTGCCAAGCCTTTGGCTTTCGTCCGCTTCACAATCAAGTCGGTTAGCTGCCCGAAACCGACTACACCGATGATCATTCCTATGCCTGCAGGCAAGAAGGAGAGACCACTAGAGGCTTCGTCGAACCCGTAGTGCTCTTTGAAGACGAAGGTAAAAGTTGCAATAAGAAGGTAGAGAATCCCGTAGGATACGGCGATGTAGAGAGCATTGAGCGTGACCACCGGTCTTCAGGCCCGTTCCATTCCACGGCGGTAGGGTCTCCATCCGTCTGGCGGTAGCTTTCGAGATCATGGTTTGAGGTCGTTGAGAAAGGCTCGCGATGTTGTGGTTGTTGCGTCTTTGAGGGGGTCATCTTGGAGTCCTCGAGGCCGGTCTTTGAATCTGATACTTTTGTCATGACTGCCATTGGAATAAAGGTAGTCTGTCACAAGTCGTGGTAAACAAGTACGAACGACCCTTCTTTGTTAATAATGCCTCTTGTCAAACGAACCCTGTCACTGGTCCTCTTAGCATGCGGGAGAGGAGGGGCACAGTCCCTGGAAAACGCGTATTTGAGGTGCCATTTCTTAACTCTAGCGACGATAACAAGGATTCAATGACAGATCCCAGCCCGTCGTCGACATTATCATGTGGGGCATACCCAAATGGTCTCAAGCGACATTCTTGACGGGATGGTCGAGTCGACAGCATAAGACAGCATAATATTGCAGTCAGTGACTTCTTCGTGGCGGTTGATGCGTCGCATCGCTGAGCGGAGATGATCTTGGGGTTTCGATGCCAGCTTATCTGCAACCTCTCATGAGCCATCCTCAGCCCGAAGTCACTGTTACTGACGATTCTGAATAGAATATTGGAGAAAAGAAAAGATCTAGTTGATTAGCAAGATTGTCGGCTCCATGCAGTCGAGCATGATCGTGACAAGATGGCCACACATAATAAGAGCGATGATGCAGCTCTGACCATTTTCAGAGCAGATAGGCTTGGGTGGAAAAATCCACAAGGATAAGTAGATATGATGCGATGAATAAGTCCTTCACTGAAACAAAAACTTCTCACGGCGGGTTCCACGTATTTCAAAATGAACACCAATGTAAAAGACACCACCAAGATGGTAACCAAATTTGAAATGACAAAATGCGAATTGCCGAAGAAGAAGTATGATAAAAGCAACAAGGACCCCGAGGACGAACAGAAAGGACGAAGAGGACGACGAGGACGACTAGGACGACGAAGACGACAGACTTTATGCGTTCTGTTTAGTCATCCCAAAGTTGTCACACGGTGATAATTCAACTAGCAAATGCCATACTCAACGGAATAGTTGGGTGATCCTGGTAGGCGCACTACGTTCATGCGAATAATCCTGGGACAGACACTGGCGTGTTCGGACTGTGCTGACGGGACGAGTAAACTTGCCTGAATAGGTGCACCTCTCGGACTGCTGTAGCGTTCAATTGGGCCAACTCCGATGCTGACATTACCTCCACTACCTTAGTAGCTAGCGGGCGCCCCTTCTGTCTTGCTAATCGTCCAGACATAAAACACCACACAATTCACGGCAGGTGCGGGGTTCTCTTTCTACTTGGCATAAGCGAAGTTCCGCGTCTTCAGGCAGCCGCCGGAGTTGGATCGGGCAGGCATAATCGTCATTCTCCACCCGGACCGTCAATCAACTTCATCCCGTTCACCAACCTCTCAGAGCAACGTGGCCTGTCACCGTGTCCACCACCGTGTCCTCCGCGCCCGGAGTCTACGGTATCCATCAGAAACTAATAAAATCGTGCCGAGTAATCAATACATCATCATCCCACCCTTCGTCGGTTCAGACTTCTACGGCCCAGTCAACATGGCCGCCTCTCTCGACGCAATCCTTGCGAGCAGCACGCCCGCTCCCGATCAAGATGCAGCCGGAAAGGTTCCTGGTGCCGCATTTATCGTCGTCAACAAAGATGGTATTCATTTCGCCTACCTTTAATTCACATGCCGTTCCTGACCCAAAGCCTAGGCGTCCTTTACAATGGTTCAGCGGGTCGTATCGACCCTGCCCCTGGGTCTCGCCCATGGAGCGTCGATACATTTACCCATGTAGCGTCTTTGACGAAGATTATCACCGCTACTAGCATTATGCAGCTCGTGGAACGTGGCTTAGTGGATCTCGACGTCGACATGAGGGAACTCGTTCCGCGATTGGGACAAATGCCCATCTTGAGAGGCTTCACCGAAGATGAGAAGCCTATCCTCGAAGATCACGAAGTACCAATCACCCTGAGGTATTCAGCAGCATCTCTTCCTACATCTTGCATGATAACTTAACACAGGTGTCAGAATGCTCCTCACTCATACCGTTGGGTTGAGCTACGACGTTATCGAGCCAGACCTGATGAGATGGCACAACGCTGTGGGCCGCAAGGCGACAAATCTGGACTGGAGCCTGGATGGCTTCCATACGCCTGTACTTTTCAAACCTGGCGAAAGCTTTTGCTACGGAACGGCGATTGACTGGGCTGGTCAAGCGTTGGAGAAAATTACCGGCAAAACGCTCGGCGAGTATATGTCGGAGAACATATTCGACCCTCTCGGCATGAAAGACACGGGCTTCTGGCCGGAGAAGTTGCCCCACACCGCCGACCGGACCGCCACATGGTCCTACCGAGGCGAGGATGGATCCAGTATCGCCCCCGGTCCGCAGATGTTTGCCAAGGAACACCCGGTCGAGAGCGGCGGCGCGGGTCTCCTGACCACTGCTCAGGACTACAGCAAGTTCCTCCACGCGCTGTTGACAAACCAGATTGTGAAGAAGGAGACGGTAGATGAGATGTTCCGTCCGCAGCTCAACGAGAAAATTGCGCGAGATTCACGGGAATTTGCGAACAAGTCGTTGACAGCGGTTGAGTTTGACCCTGAACTCAAGCTCAACTACGGCCTCAGTGGATTCATCAACATGGAAGATGCCGAAGGGAAGCGCAAGAAAGGCAGCATGGCATGGAGCGGCATGTGCAATAGCCATTGGTGGATGGACAGGGAGTCGGGTATTGCAGCAGTACTGGTCGTACAACTCATGCCGTTCGGTGATCCAACCTTCGTCAGGTTGTTCGATGAGCTGGAGCGAGCAGTCTACAGTGATTTGCTTGCAACGGCTTAGCTTGGGGTTGAGGCGACGTTGCCATTCTTTTTTAGATCCTGAAATGTTTCCTATATCAACTCGACCAGAACCTGCGCTGTTATCAATTAGGGTATCTCATTAAGCTCGTCGTCCATTATCATAATGCTATGCTAAGTATCCCGTCTGTCACCGGACTCTAATTGCCGTATACTCTCATCAGCACCCTTCCGAGCCCATTCCGGTGATGAAGGACCCGAAAACGTCGGCGAAGTAACCTTGGTGTACCAGCTATCAGGTCTCCCCGATTCTGGGTTTCGCAGTGGTACCGACCCAATCCGGCTCAACCTTTCAAATGGAAAAATGAAGTCTCTCGGCTCATGCATTATCTGTGTTCCCTGTGAAACCTGCTCCGAGGGGTTCACCGACAAAGACTCCATGCCCAGCTCACTTGTTCTCAAAACCCCTGTTAGGTGCTGCGTTTGAAGCTTGCTTCCTTTCAAAAACTTCAACTCAATGGGTGCAAAGAAGCTTCTTGTTGCGCGACTCGAGTTCGGTGTGAAGTGGTGTCGGCGCATTATCAAAATGTTGACAGCTGGGAGGCACGCGCATATCATGCCGATGCTCACTTCGGCCGTTCTGATTTTACGGTCAGCCTAGATATCCAGAGGAATTCGAGCCATGATTAATGGTGACTGACCCAAGAAGGTTGAAACGGATGAAATCTACCGGCTCATCGTTCGACTTCTGCAGCTGTACCACGAGAATCATGCGAACAATGCTCGCGGCTGTGGCTATCCCTCCCGCGCTAAGCATGGCGAGCACCTTGAGCCTCTTCGACCAGGACATTCTGAGTGTCACGGCTACGGGTATCGGGATAGTCAAAACTGCGAGGTCGGTTACGGCGCTGACGGCTGTGTCGGCGACAAATACGGCACGCTGGTTGAAGCAGTCCGCCGGTAAGTCCGGATCCCAGAAGCCGGCGATGGGTCGGCAGATCAGTGTCTTTATGACAAGAACAGGCGCATAGTACCCGACCATGAATATGATGACGGCGTAGGTGGCTATTACAGTCTTTTTGTAGGTTCCGAAGACCCTGATCACGATGAGAAGTAGGGTGAGCTTGGTGAAAAAGGAGTTTGGCCCGTATACGAGGGTATCGGCGTACAGCCCCAGAGAGGAGTTCAGTTAATAGTACCTGAAAGGTATTTTGGCGATAGTTACCTTCTTGAACCCAACAAGACTCTCCTTAGAGATTTCGTAAACGTGATAGCCTCCACCATAGTGTTGCACTACCGTCTTGTCAGTAAGACATCTGATGTTGCCCTGCAGTGAAAACTCACTCACGAGAGCTGTGGTACTGTAGGCAATAGACAGGACCTATTCATGATGAGAAATATGTCTCCAGACATGCTTGGTAGTGAGCTTCATACCCACGCCACAAGGGCCATCCCTGGACTAACTCAGCGCCGGCTACAACTCGGGAGAGCTCAAAGTATGCTTACAGTCATCGATGTGAAAAGGCGGCGTCATAGCCCATTTCACATAGCAGCGGATCATCATGAAAATGCTGACAGATACGATAGACAGGATCTGTGAAACGAGATTGATGGTGTGCAAGACATCCGTTGGGTTTTCAAAGTTGGGCACTACGCCTTCCGGCGGGGGGGCCGCCCCCACTTGACTAGACATTGCGCATCGGGTATCGGCGTGACTAGAACTCGTCGGGATTCAGGAGGATTGACGGAGCAAGGCATGCTAGCAAAAGCGAATGTGAATCAGTTGGAATTTTGCTGTCGAGCCACCAGGTACTGTCGAGAAATTGAGCGTCTCGGTCGGAGTCGAGTTGTAGACATCTTGACGAGAGCAGCGCGGAGGTGTGGGCATCACACTTATTTAGACGGCTTGGAGCTAGTTGGAAGAACGCATCAAGTAGGCCCTGGGCTGGAAAATATGAGCGAGCAGCCAGTAAGAGGTCAGCTAGTGATAACAAACCTTAAAGACAACTTAAAACGCTAATCACGGGGGATGCGGCCGGCTTCGGGACAAGCTTTCTGAGCGGGGGCGACGCCCGTCGTCGACGCCCGGATCGTGGCAGGGTACTTCGCCTGGAGGGGTCCGCGTTGGAAGACAGGATCTGTAGAGATGACAAGGGATGATGGAGATCGGCTATTGTCATGGCAATGATGGGTTCTGAGATCGGGAAGTAGCACCGTAGCCATGGGTTTCAGGCGCAGATGGAAGATTACTTCGGCGTGGTCTAAGAAGCGAATTTTGCGTACCACAAGTCAGGACCCCAAGGTCTAGTCTGCGAAGATGCCCTTTCCCAGAGAGCGTTCGAGCCTGATATCTCAGTTGGGTAGGTGGGTGGCCTGTCCGCGACTCATTCCGTTGCAGGAGCTCTTTCGGATGGGTGGTCTGCGCTGATCAAAGACCGGTCTAGAGGGTCGAGTTGGCATGTGCCGGATCAGACTCCGACTGAGGACTTTTGTGGTCTGAAGTATCGACTCTGACTCGTCGCGAGGGGAAAGTCATTCCGAGCGGCCGGACGATGGGGATTGAATGCGGGGTTGCAATATTGCGTACTCGTGGCCATGTTTCCCGAAGCTTTGAGGTTGCTTGATTCAGCCCGGGCAGATCAAGGGTGAAATCTGATTCACCGGTTGCCAAAATATGCCCACTGTAGAAGCTTCGAATCGGGATGGAACTGCCGTTTGCGGTCCTCGTGGTGAAAAGCTACTGTGCCATGTGCCGAACCAATGGCACCACCGTTGTCTTGGAATTCTTCTAGAATAATTCGAAGAATGTTCCATCGGAAAGATTAGACTGAAACTGTGGAAGCTATGACAAAATTGCCGTGGCAAGGCAAGATTAGTCGTTGATAGGGGCTAGTGCGAGGTCGCGAAACCGAGGTAGTTGCTTGGCGGATGAAGTGGGATATTTACGGCAATATTCTCGCTCATTTCCTTCGGACAGGATGCGGCAAAACGTGAGAAGCCCACGGCAACTCCCAGTTATAGTGAATTCTCTCTTAGCTCTCGGCAACTTGGTTCAGGTCAAACCCAGTGGCCTGTGGAGAGTTTATCTAGAACGACCCGTCCTTCTGGTTATGACACCTGCGCAGTTGAGGTTTGTCTTGTGCCAAAAGTCCTTCTCCGTGATTCTCCCACCGGTCAGCTCGACTGCCGATCTAAGGTGAGACTTGGAACCTGAGGCATGTGTTCTTCGTTGCAAAACCATCATTGGCAGATATGAGAAGCTGGCCCTGCGCTGCTTCCTCCAAGTGTTTTGAACGTTTCTTTAGGAAAGGCTCAGGCGTCACGCAGCGTTTCCCCATCATCATGATAGTCTTTTGGAAGGCGAAATATAGGCCAGTTCTGTCTCAGACAGCTGAATTTCGTGCAAGACGACCTCATCTGACCTTCATCTAGTCATTCCTATCAAGCCAATGCGCAAGATCCGTGTGCTTTTGAAAGAAATGACCCAAAGCTCAGCCGGCAATCCCCATCCGGGCATGTATGACTTGCCTCGTGCGAGGCAGATGTGGTCCAGGACGTCGTAAAATAGGGGTCTCATTAGTCATGCTCTGCCGTGACTCGTTTCGTGGACTTGTGCATATGTGAAACCTTTTGAATGCTTCATCTGCCCTCTGCTGATTAAGCGGCGAAAGAGAAGCCGCCGGGGTCGAAGCTTTGCCGATGAAATGCCATAGACGTACGGTTTGAATTTGACATGGGAATCTGGTTGATCTTGTGAAAAGCTCTGATAGGTTGACAAAAGAACACCTCGTTGACTTGGCCCTATTACTACCCCTGGATGTTCGGTTGCACCTAAAGTCTTCACAGTCTTAGTCTGTATTTTGCAAATATCGTTGCAATTCTGACTTGCGATGTTTTGCACCACTTTCTTTAGCCCCGAGCCATATTAGTCTTCTAAACCTTAGTAATCAGATTTCGAATATCAAATGATGTGTAATTACATGTGTGTAGTTGGAGGTTTGTCCTTTACTACAGTGTGTCCTTGTTTGTGATTCGCCTAGCCGTCTCGCAATGCAGATAACCAGATACAAGATTACCGACAGGTTATCATACACATCTCCAGCTGGGAAAGGCTCGAACGCTAGAATTATTTATAGGGGACTCTATTCTTCCCTTCCACAAAGAATTACCATTCAAGATGGTTCCTGGCGGTTTGAAGTGCATTCGTGGGACAAGTACATACTAGACGACCATCGTCCGATCTCCAGCTTTTCTCAGGGGTCTTCGCAGGATAATGTTTACTTTTTGGGGTCTGGAAACCTCGATGTTCTCAATGATGTGACCTTGGGGGGCCAAGACGATGGATCACCTTGAAGGGTAAGGCGTTTTCAGCCGAGATGAGATTGAAGAAGTGGCCAGATCAGCCTCTTTCAGCGGACATTGCAATGCCTGGCTTTCATGGCGAAGATGAACGTGGATTCAGCTTGTTTAGATTGGACCCGGACCACGCCTTGTGGCGCTTCTCATTTACGGGCGCACGAGGCAGTAGGAGGCGTTTGACGTACGCGACGACGTCCGCAGCGATGAGTAGGGGACGTATATAATGGGAAGTTAACGACGACATGATACCAGAAGTCTTCCCTGTCAAGGTCTTGCATCTTGGGAATGGACTTCGTTCAGAGGCAAATCAACGGATATCACTCGGTCTGTACCTTTTTCTAGGGATTTCTCCTGAAGATTTCTAACTTCAAGCTTATGAAAGACTTGGCTTAGGAAGTGTTGCCAGCCAGACTGGCGAAGACGAATTCTAGAGGTCTATTCGCATAGGAAAGACTAGAGAAAAGAGCTCCTAATAATTATATAGTTAGAGGTTTACTATCTAGGCAGATACTTCTAGCTAACAGGGCAGGCGAGTTAGAATACTAACAGCCTAACTAAAAAAATGATTTCCTTTGTTACTGTTGCTATCTTTGTTATCCTTATTGCTGTTGTTATTGTCGTCCGTTGTCGTCGTCCATCGTCGTCTTCCGTCGTTGTCTTCCGTCGTTGTCTTCCGTCGTTGTCTTCCGTCGTTGTCTTCCGTCGTCGTCCTTCATTATCGTCGTCCGTCGTTATCCTTTATCATCATCATCCGTCGTCGTCTGTTGTTCGTATCCTCGTTATCACTTTTTGTCTACCTGTTGTTATATATTTTCTTGTCGTTGTTCTTATCTTTATCAACATTTTGCTCTATTAGGATTATTATTGTTATTTTAGCTTCCCTACTAGGTATACTTATGTGTGCTGCTACTTGTGACCTTTTATCACTAACTGCCTACATAGCTAGTGGTATCTGGCAACGTAGCAAAAGTCTAAAGTTACCTAGGAAGTCCAAATATCAATAGCTTTAAGTTTCTCTCATTCAACTTTGGAATTATGAAAATGGGGAACATATCCTTACCCTACCCTCAGCTCGCAGTACTTACCATACTCCGTATTATTTAGTTGATGACCAGGGAAGCCCGAATACCGCTCGCATGCCGTTCCAACACCAGTCGCACTCCCACAGCAACCCGTCATGATAATGGTTTTTGTCCACTAAGCGCGTGAAAATACACATAAGAATGAACCCCCGGATCGACCAATTCCGTCCTTACCCTCCCCAGCAATTTCTCAACCTCATCCGCCGTCCACCCTAGCCCCCTCGTCAGAGGCCCAATGGTCACAGCATGCAGCCCGTCGTAGATAACGCTCAGATTATACAATCCCACCGTTCTCAAGGACTTGCTCCTCGTCCACCCGCCTACAGGCACCTTACGCATCTGGTGTCTGATATTAGTGAACCCCGCAGCCGCAAGACGCGCCGGGTTGCGTTCCGCGGCGTGCATGTCAACCCCGAACCGCGCCAGGCCCTGGCTGATGAGATCCACCATCTTCATAGGCGCAAAGTCATCCGGCATGGTCCCGTCGTCGCAGCCGTAGACCCAGCGCATTTCTTGGAGCTCGATCCAGCCTCCCGGTTTGAGCGTTCTATAGCGTACGTCAGCTGACGAACCCGCGTGTGTGGTGAGTGAGACGGGGGAGACGATTACTTGTACGCTGACTCGAGGAGCTTCGGCCACTCTTGTATTGAAGGCGCCATGTTTCCCAGCCGGATGAAGTCGAAACTGTCGGGCTCGTGGAACCACTCTGCCTCGGCGTCGTCTACTACAAATTTGACATTCGGGGGGACCCAGTCTGGCCATATCGGCGACAGATCGATGCCTGTAACTGCTGCTTCGGGGTACTCGTCGCCCACTGCTCATTGTCAGCTCGCCTACTCACTCAGCTCTTCACTTCATGCCTAAAGCAAGGGAAACGACACCACGCACCATCGATAGCCCAGACCCCTGTCCCGGTCCCAACATCCAACACCTTCTGCGGATTCCTTACAGGCGCCTCATGCAACTTGCCGCTCATCATGTGCGCCATCACCAGATGCTTCATAAACTCCCTCTGCTGCTCACTATCGTCATTCGGAAAATGGTACCGCCCCTCGCGGTATCGGTGATAGCGCCGGTTATTTTCAAAAGCGTAGTCGCGAACGGACGGCGACAGCGACATCGTCCCGGCGTGGAGGGACGGCGCTGGCGAGGCGGAGGCGTAACCGTCGTCGGCGTCCATCTCGAATGCGTCGATCGTCTCATCGTCGAAGGTTATGGGGGCTTGATGGGTTGAGTTTGAGGGTGCGGGGGACGCGGGGGCGGGTGCGGTGTGCTGATGCGCCGCCATTGTGAAGGCGAGCGCTTGCGCGTTGGCATGAATGGAATGGTTGTGCAGGCCGTGGCGGGTGACGGAGATGAGAATCGCGGCGGTGTGAAGCCGGTTGACGTCGGTGATGTGGGAAGTGGGAAGGCGTCGGTATTTCATTGTCCACCCGCGGTAGATGGGACGGGACCCTGGCTGTCGCAGGGGTGTCGAGGTAGCATGGGATGACGCCCGGGCGCTCTTGGTGTTGACTTGGGTGCTTGGGTGAGATGCGACTGTAAGCCGTCAGGTACATCTGAATGCATGGGTTAGGTACGAGACTGCCGCTGTGAGATTCAGTCGAATGCTGCGGTCAATGGCTAGAAATTTGTTAAATGAAAATTGTGAGCGATGAAGATGGAACTGGGCCGGAGAAGACGGTAGTGAGTATTGGGTCGGCATCCCAGGCATCGGATGCTGCGATCCCGCTGCAGGAGACCCAACCCGGCATCTGTAGCGAGGTCAGACGCACTGCTGAGAAATCGAGATGCAGGCTGTCTCTGCAATTGAATCGGTTCACTTGCCGTACTTGATCATGAAGCTCACTCTCAAATGCTCGGCTACATAGATAATTCAATGGCCAAACGTTCTGTCACTTCTGTCACCCAAGCATTCGACCACCATGGGTGATCAAGCGGTGCTTGAGACCGCTTCTCCATGGATATTGTAAAACGACCTCGATGCAATCTCCAGAACCCGTGAAGTGTAATTTATTCTGCTCTCATTGATTTAGATACCATACAATCCGAACAAGTCCGGTTGCTTCGGCGCCTAGGGCACAGCAGCAGCTCCGCACAAGTGGGGCCGTCCGTGTCGGATCCGGGATCCGGGCCGCCGGCGGCAACTAAGATAGCCGTGAGATCTCACGCCTCCTGCCGTGGCATATTAAGTGTAGGCGGGATAGAGAGGATAAGGCAGCCTGAAAAGAAGGACTACAGACAAGAGAGGCACACTATCGATGGTACAGCGCCTGGGTAGAGATGTTCTCCTACCCATGGAAGTAATGGTCGGTAACATATTAGATGTATTCAGGACTCTTCTCCCGCTGTCGCGTTATGACTGGCATAAGTGGCAATGGACCTTTGTCTCCTAGCCGCAACCGGAGCCGGGTTGAGCAGGAACGCACTCAGCTCAGCATCACTCAGCTCGTCTGCACTTACACCATGGTTTACAAGCAACATTTGCGACTGAGCGATAGTCAGATGACGGCGCAGCTCGCCCGGCTCGCAAGCAGCGCCCCATTGCCGATGCCAAAGCTGAAGGTATCTTTTGTGTTTCATCAACTCTTCCTCAGCGTCTGCACCTGCCGTAAAACGCATTCGATGAAATATCTCTAACCATATTCCTTCGTTCAAAACGAAGTTTCGATAGAATGGGTAGCCCAAGTCGTACTTCGTCTGGTAGGCCACATTTATGGCGTCTCGCAAAACCTCCCTCCGGCCCTTAGGCGAGGCGCCGATGACCCTGCACAAAAGTTCTAGTCCCCGCTCACATAGCCAGTGAGTGACAAAATGAAAGTTTCCACCTCTAGCGAGATAGGTTCCATCCTGGCCTCTTGCTAAATGGTGTAAGCCCTCATCTACTATGATGCGGACGTAGGAGAACCCAAGCCAGTGCCAAATATCCTCCAGTGCTTCGAGCTCTGGTAGTGTGAGTCTCCTGAGAAACGGAATTTCGTCGGCATTCTTGCTGGAGGGGGCTGGACGTTTTCGCCACAAGGCGGCGTGGTGGTCGTAGTCTGTGAGCGCCTTCGGGTCCCACGAGGGCGTAGCGCAAAATAACGCGACAAAGTCGTCTTTGTTCCTGGGACTGCAGTGCCAATCTTCCAATCCCAGGCGCGTTTTGATATCTCCTGGGAGATCAAGAAGAGTATAAACTTGGGACAACGGTTTGCAAATGTTCCAAAACCATCTCCCGTGATCCTCGGAGTATTGAGATGTGTTGCGTCCATCTGTATAGCGCGCGACGAAGTCGGACGGACTACCGAGGTTTTTGGGTGTTCCCGAGAGATGACGGCGGAGGAACATAGTTCGGTATTCGCGAAAGACGAGCTGTATCTCCGGTGTCGACGTCACGAATGCTAGGATATCCTTCCAGGAGAGGGGACCGTTGCATTTGAATATTGCATCGATCATTTCGAAAAGAACTTCCGAAGGCAAGGGCGTGAAAAGGGTCTTGCGTGCAGGAGCGAAACCTGGTCGCTGGTTGCCGTCTGGAATGACGGCATATTGGAGCGAACTCATCATGCCGACTTTGATAAATGCGTGTGAAAGTTGAGGACGTCGGTTGTCTCGAGGAACGATTTGGCGGTAGACGAAGGTGAGTTCCGAGGTCTGGTCGATGGTCTTGGGTTGTATCCGCCTCATATACCTGTTCCTCGACTAAGTTCAGCCAGAAGATAAACTTTTCATGTATGAGAGCACTGGATTTTCGTTTTTTCTTCTTCTATTCTTTTCTTGTGGCTCCTACTCCATCACGGTGCAAGGCATCAATGTGGCGCCTCATTGTTCTTCCGAGTGAGATGGAAAGGTGCGGGCTGCGTTGTCCTGACTGAGAGACCATCTATGTTCGTAAACACCGAAAACTCAATCCCACAGACGACGCATCGTTACATTTCAACCAGCATGCGCCACACTGCGGCGAGACGATTTGGACAACGCCAGTATCCTAACGAGCCAATGGGACTGCAGAAGTAAGAGCCGATGAGCGAAGCCAAGAATTATACGGTTGTACGAAATGATCTGAGAAAACCGGGGAAGGTCATGCAGAAAGGTGACCAGTCGTCGATGCGCGGGCATCGTATGATGCTGTGACCAAAGGTCCCGCGCTGATAGTGGCATATACTCTTTTCAAAACGGCCCTCTTCTCGAGGTTTTCCGGGCGACTCTCGCGAATTCTCTGTCAGGCATTGTCCCATCGCTGATTGCAGATGCTCATATCAGGCCTCTCATCGCCGCAAGACGGCCGCAGTGGTTCATAAAACCAGGTATCGTAGCAGCATTGCGGTGGTTGGGGGTTGTTTGTGTTCAAATCTTAGGGCGGGGTTCTTACTGCAAAGTCCACTGTTAGCCGTAGCACGAACCCACAGATTGGGGTAGAATTGGGGATGGAGAGAAAAGGCTGCTCAGGAGCCTGGAGGGTGGAAGTGGGCATGAGAAACTATCCTTCATTTAAGAGGCGGGATACAACTAGGCGAGTGGGCTAATGTCAGTTGATCAGCCACTCGAGATGCCCAGCAGCTTGCGTGTAATCATGTTTGCAGGTTGATGGGCGACCAACAGAAGCAAGCAAGGTTTTGCCCTGCATGGCCCTGCAAGCCCAAGGCCCCCACAGTGAAGTGCCTGCTTCCGAGAACCACGTTGCACAGCAGCCCGAGAGCTGCTGGTGTGGTAGCGGAGGGATTTGAACGAAAATGGATGCTGGCGAGGCTAGGCACCAAAGCTAGACCTGGGGTACAGCTCCGGTTTGACCTTAACATGACATGCACGTCAATTCATCCTCTACCTCGGCGTGTCCAGAGAACTTGGGACAGTCTTGACTGATAGTTGGCCTGCCCGGTCGGGAAGAAGCTCTCTCGGACGACCTGCAGATCAGGCGTGGGGCCGGAGTGATGATACTGCTCGTCGTATTTTGCGATATCGTATGCTCGAGGAGCATCCGATGCCGGTGCCGCCACGCATGCCCTGACATACTCGTGTGCTGGTCATCAATCTGGTCTGGATAAGAGATGGTGGGCTCGAGAGGGCTGCCGGCAGCCGCATTGCGCCGTCCAGGTAAGATTGAGCATGGCACAGATTGAGATGGGTGTGAAGGACCCGAGCAGTAGTCACCGACCGCCTGGTTCTCATGGAGTCGCATCCTCGAGATGGAGGGTGGACAATGAAAGACGGGCCAGTAGGGACTGCTTCCAGGACGTTTCCACCATCCCCCGCGGCTGTAAGGATCGAGTAGCATTGCATCCAGAAGAGACTGCGTGCTCACCGACAATTCCATTGTGGGTGACCGAGGTCACTTATGTTGAAAGAAAGCAAGCGTGGTGCTTCGACGGGCATGGTGACAATATTAGGATAGCAAAGCCATTGGGGGAACGAGTCCGGCAGGGTGCGTCGGATGTAAGGTTGCGTATCCGATACACCGCATGTTGAATACAGGGTCGTGAGACAAGCGGGGAGATTTGGAATTGAGTATGCTCGCTTGGTAGGACATGATGCTTGGGAATTTTCGAGATGTTCGTGGCTGGAGTTCATGCTCACGACGGATGGAGAAGAATTTGGCATGAGGCAGAATGGAAAACACCCAGATGCACAGTGAACGGTACGCAACGCTGTGGCGGGACACTAAGGCAAGCTGGCGGGGCCGTTGCAGGTGGTGACACCGACGCATCTAATGGAGGGGAAGAGAGGGGGGAGGCAGGATGTCTCACAGTAGAGCTGAGAACGGCGGAGAAACGGGTTGAAGTTCCCCAATGGGACTTCTTACCTTCAAAACCATGTTTAGCCTGGCACGTCTGGAAGGAGCTGGGTATCTGAGCGATGCATTTTGAGCAGCCACAAACGGCAAGACACTAACGGCTGTGGTTTGGGGAACCGTTAGGCCAGGGACCATGCTGTGCAACCGTGGCTTCCGGCGTAGAGCTCAACGGCATGATTGCAGGATGGATGGACTTTCCCTCATTGCTCTAGTCTTTTTCGTGTCATTTCCAGCTCAAGGAATTGACCAAGGATCGTTGGTAGGAAGTAGTCTGACCTCACTGTGACCTTGCCCGATGTTCAGTTGTAAAAGCTGAGGTGGGGGTTTTTATGTCACCCCGCCGTTCACGGCCGGCCCCTCTTTTACCGGTACCCGTCCGTGGCGCTACCCCGGTACGTATCTTGCCCGGCAGTAGCTACATCACCGGCCGGGCAAGGAGCTCCTCCCCTATAATCATTTCCTGGCCTGGTACTTCCTTCCGCTATGGTTCTGTTCCGGCGGCGTAGACACGGCAGGATCGACTCATGGTGGTTTCCCGTCCCTACCTGACCACGCATCGTCACTTCCTGAGGCAGCCAGCCACTCACCTCCTCTGCTGCCTCGCATCTGCGGCCTCGCATGTTCCTGACCTCACACCGGCGTCCGTAATCGTCTTCCTTCTCCCCTGTCTCCTCTTCCCCTGTCGTCCTTGGTCCCGTCGTCCTTGACTTGGCAGCCCATTTCGAACACAAAACCCAGCTTTCTCCTCGTCTCTGCTGATATTCACCTCTTCACCACTGCTATCAGCTCTACGAACGGCTTTCATAGACGCCACTGCTGATATTTCCTTCTTTTCACCACTTCAATTGGCCTCATTTGAATACACACAGCAACCGTCGCCATCATGCCAACCGACCACAAGCAGCCGGGTCGCCAGTTCTCGCTGGGCACCTCGGCCCACCGCAAGAGGCAGATGAGCACCATGCACGAGCAGGGCAATGCCTTTGGCCCAGCTTTGACGGTAATAATCCAAGAATCAACCTCATCATATGTCACTGACAGATCTAGACCCTCTACTGTGGTATCTCGGCCGTCTTCTCCGACTCTCACACGGCCGTCGTTGCTCTTGCCATCCACGATACTGTCTACCTCATTGACTTCACCGTCAAGCACATCAACCTCGACGACCAGACACAGACGGGCAACGACGCCATTGCCGACTACGTGATCAACACCCTCGAGGGCTATGAGCACGAGAACTTCTCCAAATTCATCGGTGCAGGTCTCCCCACCACTCTGAAGTACATGAGCCCTACCCTGTGCTCCCGTCTTTGGCTCGACCTCGACATTGTCCCCGTTGTCCTCCGTCCCGACGACGAACACAAGGAGCAGAGTTTCTGGGACATCAAGCGAGTCGATGAGCAGGCTGATTCCATGGCCCGCAAGTGCATCATGTAAGTCGCCCATCATGCATCTACCCCGGTCGCACATCCAGTGGATCCCGTCACTGACAGCCCGCCCCCAGGAACTTTGGCCCCTCTCTCGTCCCTCTTCTCCAGGTCGGCTTCCGGGGCATCGTCCAGACTGACGCGGGCTTCCGCGTCCAGCTCAACACCATCCAGAACCACAAGGACACGTGCGGGCCGGCAACCTGGGATGCCACCATGCACTATGCCAAGAAGCTTCGCGAGAACAAGATCAAGGTTGCCTTCTTCAGCAGCACTCCCCAGGGAGGTGGCGTGGCCTTGATGCGGCACGCCCTCGTTCGGTTTGCGCGTCTCATTGGCGTTGACCTGACTTGGTATGGTATGTTTTTTCCGTCTTGAGACAAGTCCGTTGAGCTGTCAAAAATCGTATGAAACTGACATCATACCCAGTCCCCAAGCCGAGGCCCGGCGTATTCAGGGTCACCAAGAACATCCACAACATCCTCCAAGGTGTCAGCCATCCTGATCAGCGCATCTCGGACGAAGAGAAGCAGTCCATTATTGACTGGATCACGGACAATGCCAACCGCTACTGGCTTTCTGAGGGCGGTCCCCTGCGTCCTCCTGAAGAGGGCGGTGCCGACGTTGTCATGGTGAGTTCTCCAATTCATCCCCTCCCCCGCGCCCATCTCCAATTCCATGCCCCCACTCCCTGAGCTACCCCTCCATGGTGCATTGGAAGTGGGATCATCCCCACAGGAGCTTTGCGTTCGGGTTTGCCCCACGACTTGACAGTGCACTGAAGCTTCGGGTCTGAACCTTGACTGATTGGTGTTCTCGAACAGATTGATGACCCGCAAATGCCCGGCTTGATTCCTCTCATCAAGAAGATTACCCCAGACCGACCCGTTCTCTACCGATCTCACATCCAGATCCGCAGCGACCTGACTTCCAAGGCCGGCTCTCCTCAGGAGGACATATGGAACTTCTTGTGGAGCAACATCCAGTATGCCGATATGTTCATCAGCCATCCGATTCCCATCTTTGTCCCGCACAACGTACCGCGGGAGAAGGTTGTCTACTTCCCAGCCACCACTGACTGGCTTGATGGTCTGAACAAGCCTCTCAATAAATGGGATACTGGCTACTACGGCCACATCTACAACAATGCCTGCCGCAACCAGCGCATGACAGAGCTTGAGTGGCCTGCTCGCAAGTACATCGTTCAGGTTGCCCGCTTCGACCCGTCCAAGGGTATTCCTACTGTTATTGACTCTTATGCCGAGTTCCGTCGTATCATGGAGCAGAAGGGCGTCACTGACATCCCTCAACTCGTTGTCTGCGGCAACGGTTCAGTTGATGACCCTGATGCCAGCTTGATCTACGACCAGACCATGGCTCAGCTCGAGAAGCACTACCCTCATCTCATCAAGGACTGCAGCATCATGCGCCTTGAACCCAATGACCAGCTGATCAACACAGTTCTTGCTAATGCCCACGTTGTTCTCCAGCTGTCCACCCGCGAAGGCTTCGAGGTCAAGGTCTCGGAGGCCCTGCACGCGGGCCGTCCCGTCATTGCGACTCTGGCTGGCGGCATTCCCCTGCAGGTCAAGGACAAGGTCAACGGCTACTTGGTCGAGCCTGGCGACTACAAGGCAGTCGCCGGCCACCTCGTGGACCTCTTCACGGACGATGAGCTTCACAGAAAGATGAGCTACGAAGCCGAAAACGGTGTCAGCGACGAGGTTGGCACGGTCGGCAATGCCTTGGGTTGGTTCTACCTGGCTGCGAAGTGGGCCGAGGTCGGTGTTAAGCCCGGCCTGCGCGGCGGCGAGAAATGGGTCAACGACATGGCCAGAGAGGAGGCCGGCAAGCCCTACAGGGAGGGAGAGAACCGTCTGCCGCGTCACTTTACGCAGAAGAAGGACATCCCGGTTGTTTCTGGCAAGAGCAACGGCGAGAACGGTCAGAACGGTCAGAACGGCCAGTGAAGTGGGTATTTCGGGAACATGTGTGACGAAGCAATGCTTAACGGTTGATGAGTCTTATCAAGGGAAAAGTGTTTAGGACCTGTTAGACTGCGAGTTGATCCTAGAGTAGCTTCATTGTCTATGCCCAAACAATTCGTTATCGTCGTCCTGATTGCCGTCGTTGGCGTTGTTGCTGTCGTCCGCCATCGTCGTCCCTTGTCGTCGTCCATCACCCTTGTCCACTTTCCCCCGTTCTCATCCATCATCCTCATCTACCATCATCCTTATCTATTATCATCCTCATCTATCATTATCGTCCATCATTATTGTCCGTCATCGGCGTTACCTCTATTCCTGTCATTCCTTCTATTACCCTCCTCGGTCAAGTAGCTCAGTAAACATAATCATTCTAGCACGGGGCAGTCTTAATCGATTTCCCCACTTTGTTTTATCTACCACTTGTTGGTGTTTCGAGTCACGTTGGTGCTGGTAATGGTGTGGCTCTGGCCGTTGAACGGCACAAGACTAGTGGCCGATTGAAGCTGACCATGCCGGAAATCTCACCACGCCCGTTTAGGAAGCTGGGCTGTACCTATTCAGGCTGCGACTAATCCTTCCCAGCGATGATTTTTAACAAGTTCTGAACCTTCGCAGGAGCAAACAAAGGGTCTGGCCGTCTGCAGGAATCAGCCGGGGTGATCCCAGGCTGCAGCGGGTGACAGCCCGCCGGCCGGTTTCCGACGAGTCCACTCGCGCCCCCGGTCGGCCCTCGGATTGCGCAACATCTCGAGTCTCACCGCGAATCAGTCACTCGTGGGACGCCACGCGTCCGGGGTCTTTTGTTAGGCTGATCCTCCGGAGTGATAGATAAGCCCAGGGACGTAATCTGACGTCTCCCAACGGCGTTTTCCTCTTTTGTTTCTGTTTCTTTTGATTGCACAGGTTTATTGAACGTCGCTTCATTCTCATCTCGCGCGACACAGGACATCGAAGATGGTGCGGCTTGCAGCGACTGCCATCCTGGCACTCACCCTATCGCCGGTGACATCGGCATCGGCCTCGGCGCCGGCACCAGCGCAACCTCCGGCGCCGTCAAAGTTTGGCCCGAGCGCGCACCACGCACGCGAGAACGCGGCGCATATCTTCAACGCGGTGCATTCTGCGATGAGGCAGTGGGGCAGCTCGATCCATCATAACGGGCTGGCGGTGATTCCCGCGACGGTGCCGCGGGGCACGATGCTGTTCCACGGGGCGAGGGGCAACTCGACGCCCGAGGGGTTCGAGTGGCTTGCGTTCGAGATGGAGCATTCGGAGGGGTTTGCGAGGAGTTGGAGGGGCGGGGGGAGGCCTGCGCCGAGGCCGCCTTCGAAGCCTGGGAATGGGAAGCCGCCGACGGTTTTGGGGGTTGAAGGGGAGGGACAGAGGAGGTTGCGGGATGGGGATGAGAAGAAACCGGAGAGACCGCCGCCGCCGCCGATGGAGAATATGAGAGGGTACTTCCACACCTACCGCGCAAACCGGGATTTGAAGCTGCTGTACATCGACGGGATGGCGGCGGGCAAGACGGACATGGGCACGCTCGACACGCAGGACTTTTTACTGCGCGGGGTGGTGGACCAGCCCAAGTTTGGCGAGTTTGAGCGCGCCGGGGACATTTGCGCGCTCGTGAAGTCGTGGGGGCTGGACGGGGTGATACGGATGGAGATTGGGTTCGAGAGCATCTACTGCGACTTTACCGACGGGCTGGACCTGGTGAGCGTGCTGCGGCGGCCGTGGAGCGAGGAGTGGGTGAGCGCGGGGGGCATGCCGATGTTTGAGTGGGCGAGGGCGGTCGGGCAGAGGTATGATGGCATCGGGGGCGGGCGGGTGAGGGTGGGGTTCGGGGGCATGGTGAGCGGGTTGTGGTATCCTGTAAACGTGAGCAATCCGGCAAGAGAGGATATGCCGCGGTTGGGGAGGCTGGAGGAGGGCGTGAGGGAGGCGATGATGGAGCGGGTGAGGGAGAATGTGATGCGGGATAAGGGGGGAGTGGTTGAGTGGCAGGGGGTTGTTGATATGGTGGTGAGCAGGTTCGCGGACCGGATAGGGGCGTTGGCGGAGGAGGGGGAGCATGGGGCTGATGAGGAGGGGTTCGTGAGCCAGGTCTTGGTTGTGACGAACAGCTGGCTGATGTATCCGCGAGATGAGTACGACGTGGAGGTGAAGGGGATGGTTGGGGACGCGAAGGAGAGGTGTGTGAGGCAGTATCTTGCGCCCGCGGAGGTGGTGAGGAACGAGTGGACGGTTGAAGATGGCCTCATCCACACGGCTGTCGAGACCGTACTCGAGAGGATCTGCGGGGATCTCTACTCTGCTCGGGGGTTGTTAGTTGACGCTGCGCCAAAGCTTGCGGCTGCGTTCTCGGCGGAGGCCATGAGCGAAGCCGTCGACGGGGCCGGGGGCGAGCTCGGAGAGGCGGTTGAGAGAGCGCGTGGGGTGATGAAGGGGTTGAAGGAGTATCTCAACTGGAGCGGGTGGAAGAAGTGCAGGCCTGGCTGTGCGGTGGACGAGGTCTGCTTCGTTGCCATGTGGCCGTTTGGTATGAGGGGGGATCACTACAGCCCGAGCTGTCAGAATCGGACGACGATGGAGGGACGCGGGAGAGGGGCGCCCGGGCGCGATGAGGAGGGGTACTGGGATTGGGAGCCAAGGCCGTGAGAGTTTAGAGGGTTTGGGATGATGGATTGGGTGCTGTGTTTGTTTCTATAGAGTTTGCAGGACTTCTTCGCGGAATACATTATGATGCCGTTTATGAATTCGGCTCAGCTTCTGCTTTGACTTATATGGTGATTTTCGTAGAGGCTTGATTCATGACGGTAAGGTACATTAATTGCATGTACAAGTGATCTTTGGCTTTTGAATTAGAGGAAGATATTTTAATCACTTGATGGTCGCGGAAGCAACATTACGACTCTCATATCCAGACCAAACGAAGCGTAGTTATATATAAAATAATGGTTCTGCGTATATTCCAATACTATGGAAAATGCGAGATCCAATATCAAATAGGTACTCCAGGAAACAAATGCAAAACCCGAGCATTCTCTGCATGTTGGTCGCAAAATCCTCACACGGATACGCCGGAGGGCGTGAAGGAGCTGAGGATGTCAAACCGTAAGATCTCTAATAATTAGAAATATCTGTAGGACATTCTTCCTTCACGTTAAGTTTACTGGTCCACGTCTTGATCTCGACCGCCGCGCCCTCCGGAGCACGTCCACGTCCACGGGCTGGCTTAGCTCTACACTAACCAAAGTACATCAAAAGCTCAGCGTACATACTGCATCCTCTCACAACTCGCAGGGTCCAATTGCGGCTCACACAACTAATGACATGCCCACAGAATCCATCAAAAGCCCCGTTATTCTATTATATTCCCAGCTCCGCGGAGAACCTCACCCAGCCGGGGCGGGCCGGGCGATGACATTTTCTCACCTGGGGAACGTGACCACGATGCATGTTTGTATGAGGTAAGCCCCCCAAGACGACTATTCTGGTCTTGTGGCTCACGCTGTTCCGAAAAGTTCCTCGTTTCCGCGGGGGACCTTATGTCAGCGGCAGCACTGTGCTTTGGCGCAGCTGGGCGCGTGGCAGGGGCGGAAAACGGGTTTTGGTTCCCGAGACGATCCAGGAACAGCGCTGCTGCGGCGTGGGACGGGACCCAGCGATCGGCTTCCAGGGCTGATGGCGCGGGACTGGCCGCCGTGCTGTGCTGTCATTGCCATCGATGGATGCTTCTCGCGCGCGCGGAATGTCGTCCTATCCCACCGGCTGACGGGTCCAGGCCTCAATCATCAGTGCTTGCAAAAAGTTTTCACGTCTTTTTGGATTGTCCTATGATGAAGATGATTTGGAATGACGCATTTTTGCTCCCGAGGAAAACGAATGAAGCTTCTCCGGGAACCTTGTCCATGGGCACACATGTGCAATGATGCCATGTGCGGTGTTTCCATGCTGTTCCAGTTCAGCCCTCGTTTGTTGTTTTTTTTGTGCGGGAATATCACGTCCGCCTCGGTAACACGGAACCTTTTTACGTGCGAGAGGATGGCGGCCCAACAGCCTGGGGGCAGGCACGCAGGCGAACAAGAGGCGGATGTTTTCATTTGAAAATTCCGTTTCAATTTATTGGGGGTGATCAATGTCTTTGCCTTCAGGCGTTATAGGAACACACACGTAGGTATGTACACACATGCACACAAAATCAGGGTAGAACATACACAACAAGGTGGCTTGTTGGAAAGTGTCTGGCGGGAGTGGCGGTGCGACAATTGTCTGTTGTTTTAGAACTTTGAAACAAACTGTGGGAGAGCCAGAGACAAGGCAATTTCGCTCAACGTCTTGGAGGCGAAAGCTGGGGCTGAATAGGGAGCTGAAGCTTGGTGATCCTTCGGTCGCGTGGGTGTCTGGGTGCCATGTGGTGCTTTCGTCGCACCGGCGCGCGCCCTTGGAGTAACAGAACGCTCGAGATCGACTGCCAGCCAATGCAGTATGTTTTGGTGAGAGCTTCCAACGACCGTGGCCGCCACTCCTTCAAATTATTCTGGCGCCATTTCTCCCGTGAAACCTTTTTGGCTGCAGGCGTTTAGTCTCTCATCGTGCATGGGCTCTTCTTACCTCAGACTGCAGAGGCCGTGGGTTCTGTCAGATCTTGCATGACGAATTGCAGCGTTGCAGAATGGCATGTGAAGTCGCAGAATCCCCACAGCAGATCATCAAGACCTCAAAGTCTGCAATACTGCCGCGCATAAACATCGCTGTACAGAATAAATCACCGCCTCATGAAAGTACCAAACAAAGGCACCAATTCTAGAATGCAACGGCCACCCGTCCCACCAGCGGAAGCCCACTAAGCGTCCCGCCAGGCGGCGGTTCCGCAGAGTCAACCCGCCACGAGGCGTGCCTGAACAAGGGTGGGCCCGGCCCCGACCGCCGCGGAGATGCACAAACTCTACGACGGTCCGATGTCAGGCCACGGCAAGAGGATGTTACGGAATATCCAGTTTTCTGGTCCCTGTTTCCTCGCGGCACCATGGCCCATTCTACCCTCCGCGGTTTAGTCTCCGGAGCGGGCAGGTGGACCTTTCCATCGGGACCACTGAGCGCTCTGATATTTGTCAATTCGGGGCCACGGGGGTACCATCGTAAGATGCGTAAGATGGATGGTGATGAGTCGTGCAAGCCGATGGGATTTCCGCCTCATGATATAAAGCCAGTGTCCCGGCTTGAAACGATGAAACGGAAGGAAAGTGTGTCACCGCCACTCATCAGAATCTAGACAGCCGTCTTCCATACACACAGACGATAAGAAACATCAGACCGAAGCACTGGCTTCATCATCATACATCACTTACCTCACAACGCACATCTGGTACATGTCTGCCTTTTCCAAGACATCTCGTCTTCTGCCACGTCTGGTCCGCCAACAAAGATTCATCGCTCGAAGCTTTGCAACCACCTCGTCTGCCAGGATGGGCCTCACGCAACAACAAATCGACATCGTCAAGTCGACAGCACCCGTCCTCAAGGTGCACGGCGAGACCATCACCACCCTGTTCTACAAGGACATGATCGATACCCACCCAGAGCTCAAGAACGTCTTCAGCCTACGCAACCAGGCCAACGGCGAGCAGCCGCGCGCCCTCGCGAACTCGGTCCTGGCCTATGCGACGTACATTGACGACCTGCCGAAGCTCAAGGGCGCCGTCGAGCGCATCGCCCACAAGCATGCCTCGCTGTACATCCGCCCCGAGCAGTACGACATCGTCGGAACCCACTTGATGAAGGCAATCGGGGAGGTACTGGGGGATGCGCTCACGCCAGAGATCGCCGACGCGTGGACGGCGGCGTATGCGCAGCTTGCGCAGGTCTTCATCGGTCGCGAGGCCGAGATGTACAGCGAGGCGGGCTCGTGGACAAGCTGGCGCAAGTTCAAGATCATCCGGCGCATCGACGAATCCGACGTTGTCACCAGCTTCTATCTTGCACCCGTCGACGGCAAGCTGCCGCTGCCCAAGTTCAAGCCTGGCCAGTACATCTCTCTCCAGGTCCCCGTGCCCGAGCTGGGAGGTATTACTCAGCCCCGGCAGTACTCGCTCAGCGACGCGCATACGGGCGACTACTACCGCATCAGCGTCAAGCGCGAGGCGACGGTGCTCGACGGCAGTGCGGAGGACAAGGGCAAGGGTCTGGTCACGGGCTTGATTTCGAACATCCTGCACAAGGAGTACCAAGTCGGCGACGAGGTTGAGCTGTCGCATCCCCAGGGCGAGTTCTTCCTCGACGTGACACAGGCCGACAAGGCCGACGTGCCGCTGGTCCTCCTATCCGCCGGCGTCGGTGCCACCCCGCTGATGGCCATTATGGACACCGTGCTCAGCCCGGAGAGCAAGACGCCAAACAGGCCCGTCAAGTGGGTGCACACGGCGCGCAACAGCTCCAGCTTGGTCTTTGCGAAGCACGTCCGGGACCTGACCCGTCAAAGGGAGAACGTCAGCGCTCACATCTTCCTGAACGAGGTCAAGGAGGGGGATCAGAAGGGTCACCATTACGACTTCCACGAGCACCTCGACCTGGCAAAGCTGCCTACCGAAGAGCTTGGCCTGGCGGACAAGAAGACAGAGTACTTTGTCTGCGGGCCGAAGGAATGGATGCTCAAAGTGAGAGATGCGCTCGAGGGCATGGGTGTCGAGAGGGAGAGAGTCAAGCTGGAGCTGTTTGCGACCGGTGACGTCGCCTGAAGTTGAGGCTGCGATGATTTGAGTATTGAGTCAGACAGGATGAAAGTTTCCGTGACGGGGATCTTGCGAGGGATGAAGCGTTAGCGGGGCGGTGGTCTTGTTCGAACATTGTTTGTTTTTCCCATGTTGGTGCGCGCCTTGCTTTGGATGTATGTACAGATAGACAGATACCTCTCTCAAATTTTGGAACTTTAATTTTTGACAGGTTTTAGAGAGCTTCCCTTGTTGGAGATCTCGTATAAGTGACGAAAGAAAAGGGCTGGCCGTTGGTTACTTTTTTGTCTTGTGGTGGTCATTTTTGTTTGGGTGCCTGGCTCTCCCTCGGTTGAGCGCGGTGTTGGAGTTGATGTTTGCTTTTTCCCCAGCCTGGCTGTTTCGGGGCGATGAGTTCTTTGGGCGCTGAAAAATTTCTTTCAAGTTGGAAAATTTTTCACGATCGAGCGCTCAGGCTTGACTCGGAGGCTTCTAGATGCGAGATCGAACCCTGTCGTGTTGCGTGTAGATGAGATGGCTGAAGAATGAAGTTGAAGTTCGAGTGGGAGCGCGGGATGAGACGAGACCGTAAGACGGGCGGGCTCAACGCTCGTCGTTCGTCTCATCAAACGGCGCCACATGGAGAGCAACGTCCATCCTTAAGAATTAGTATGGCTCAGTATAAGACGGCCAAGATACTCGTTCGTGCCAACTGTCTTAATAACGGCCAATTAATGGTGATTGGCAGTTAGCTGGCCGTTGGACGGCTGCCTCGGGTGAGGAGGACGAGGCAAAGGAATGGGGGTGGGCGCTGGCTCAGGAAGACGGGAGGAGGGCGGGAGTGTGGCCAAAAATAAACTGGGTAAGGTGACACGAGGGGGAGAAATCGTATCACTCGTCAAAAAGAACGTTGCTTATTCGCAGAGCTAGGCGAAAGTAGCCAACGACCAGAGAGAGACTTGGCTTGAGAAGAGCGAATCGTGTATTTTGTGACGACGATTCTGGGACCAGGCGATCAGATACGGCGGACGGCTTCAGGTTGCCTCTTTCCCCGGCGGACGGGGGATCCGGTTGGATTTCCGGCAGGGCAGAGGAGGGAGAAGCAGGGAGGGCGTGGAGGATGAGGCTGCTCCAGATCAGATGCTCGATCGTCATCGACGCGTACCTTAGGGTACAGATGCAGATGCGGATGCGGATGCGGATGCAAGATTCAGGTCCCCCCATCCGGTTGGGCGTCGTCCGCGATTCCGGGAAAGAGGCCATCTCCATCGAGCTGGACCGTCAGATGTGAGATGCGACGAAAGCCAGGGCAGTCGCAGGGCAGGGGCGAGAGTTGAGTTGTGAGTTGTGATGGACCCAAGGCCGAGGTGATGGTGTTGAAGTCGGGAATTTGGGAATTTGTTGGGTCAATAAATTGCTTCGATCGGCTCAGGGGTTCACCTGTGCTGTTGCTCATCATGTGCCCGAAGCAGGTGGGAAGGCGCGAAGTAAGGTAGGTAGGTCACGGGTAGGCAGGTGCCTGCGTCCAGTCTGCTGCGAGGAGGTCTGCTTCGGCCGTGATTGGTGAGACCACGTGCCCGGGGACCCGGAGCGCCGATGTGCCGGCCTCGCGCTACCCGGAAAGAGGAAAGGGCGATGGGATCCCAGGCCGCCACCGTACCGCCTTCCGGGACGGGATCGAGCTGATCGGACGGGGGGAGGCAGGAGCGAGCACGGAGCACCGGGCAGGTGCACCTGGTAAACAGTTCGTTCGGGCAAGTGCACTCCCGCGCAGACAGAAAGAAGGAGCACATCGCAGGGAGGCAGGTGCGAGTGAGTAATTGCTTGATTTTCTTGGGCAGGTAAGGTAGGTGCGGTGCAGTGTCCCGCTTTCCTTCCTTCCCGGCCGAATTGAACACTGAGATATGAATGAGGCAGGCGGGGTTCCGCGATCCCGTTCCGCCCGCTCCTTCCCCTTTCCCTTCCCCTTCCTTCCCCGGTCTGTCGCATTGATGAATCGTGTTTGCTTGCTTCCTTCCTGCTCAACTGCCCTGCTTCATCGCATCGTCTCCTCCACATACTTCGTACTCTCCCTTTGTCATATTTTCCACTTCTTTTGTTTGTTTGGTACCGAGCGATTCCTCCCGTTGTTTCTTCATCGCCCATATCCCGGTCGCTTTAGGCTTTCTTTCCTTGCAGCAAACAGGGGCCGCCTCGACATGCAGCTGCTTGACCAGCATCAGCACCCAGCGTCAGTCAGTACCAGCAGCTGCAGCAACAAGGGCCGCAGGGCTTGCGGAACAGGGGACCTTCGACCCGGGCGCTGCGAGTCCCATCGATCTGGAACCACCAAACTTTCTTCTCGATGCTTTGCTTCTTCTTCGACCTCACACTCCTCTTTCCATCCAGTCAAGGCCCATTTCGCGGCATGGCAGTCCTGGCCGCCCGCATCCTTCTCCCTCGCACATCTCGCAGAGATTTGCACGCTACGGCCTCAACGGCATCGCCGCCCTTCTGCTTCGTCATATCTGACATCGCCCATCCTCCCCCCAACCGTCGATTGCCCCAAGGGCCTTCGCCCAAGCATCGTCCACGCATTACCCACGCAATGACACTGCGTCGCCGGAACACCTCCGGAATACACTGAATCCCTGCTCGTGCTCGGCCATGTCTTGCTCGGCCACGATCCTCGCCCATCACCGTCATTCCAGGGGCTAGGAAAACGACTGAAATCACAAGAGATAGACGAGACGGCCAGAGTTCTGGAAGAGTCACCAGCATTCCTCGGTACCCTCCCCTCATCTGCCGTCCCCTGTCAACCTGCTCTGAATGGCAATCATGGAATGCCGGTACTCAAACTCTATCCGCCCATCATCTCATCGCCCTCCATCACGGGGGAGAATTCGCCGACCGACCCAGACTGGGATTGGTCTGGATCGTGCTGCGCTGATATTCACACGCCAGTCGGAGGGTTGGTGGATGAATGGTGGATCCGGGAATGCCCTCTCATGACCGGCTCCCCAACCGACCCCTCGCGTTTTTCGTCATATCTGGAATCACGGCTTCGTGGCCGGCCGGCGGGCGCGTTCTCCTCTTCCTGCGGGTTGCGTTGCCCAACATCGCCGAACCGCCGTCGAGCCCGACGCTGGAGACCTGTCCAGCCCAGCCCAGCCCAGCACAGTCGCCAGCTTCCCCCACGGACGCAGCCATTCAGCTGTCAATCCCGGCTACTGGTTGCTAGCATGCACCGAGCCGCTGTCAATCGCCGCCCGCGATGCTCGTTTGGGTGCATCCCCCGTCGATATTGCCCGTCGCCGTCAATATCGTTCCCTCCATGTCGCAGTGCAGTACTTCAGCGGTTCCTGCCTGTGCCGGGGTTGAAGAATTGAGCTATGGATCAAGAGTCGCAAAATCGATAGACAAAAGCCAAGTCCGAAAGGGAGGGCTGCTGTCACGACTGCAACGCAACACAACCTCACGCACGCAGCCCACCTTGCATCCTGTCACTGTACTGTCACTTATATGGCCTGCCACACACATGCACATCATCCTGCGGTGCCCAGCTGGACCTGTCAAATGTTAATTTTCCCTGAGTCGTGTTTGAGCGGCACCGGGTCGCATGATCTGATGCTCATTCCGTTGCCTCTCTGTGGCCATTCCGTGGGACGGCCCGCATTTGCGCCCTGCTTGGCTGCGACGCTGCTCTGTCTGTTATGGTCCTTCAATAATTACTATGCAGCAATTGTGCAGCTCCCGAATTCCCAGGTCAGCCAGGCCCATCATTAGCATACGGCCGCTTCTTCATATCGTCGCTCGCAATTCGGGACTCGCAAAACAAAGGCTCTGCCTCGTTCAAAGAGATGTCGAACGAGATGCACCGATCAAAGGCGTCATGCCCCAGATGGACAGACCAGCTCAACGTCACCCGGTGTTACACGACGCCGAACATGAACAGGTCCCGCTGCGATGCGGTCGGCGTCGGTCGGTGCAGAGACCAGCTTCCGGCGCGGCCTTCAGGGGCTGCCACGAGTCCGGGTCTGGGCGACGCGGACACTTCCGCCAGTCCCATCTTGTGCGACGCGACTAGGTTCTCGTACCTTTTCTCGGTAGTCCTTCGAGTAAAGACCGCACGCAAAAATGTCTCTCCATCAGGAGCCGTAAGAGCCAATGTCAAACGACGACTTCCAAAGCCAGCATCGCCGAATCGTCTGCCTACCCCCATCGAGCCAACTTGCAAGGATTCAACGACACACACCGAATCCTGCTACAGCCTAGCCATCAACCTCTTCAGCCTGTCGTCATACTATTCAAGCCATCTGGTCGTGCAGCCCTCTGACGTCCGGATTTGAAGATGGTCCCGCGGGTGCCAGGCCGCCAGGGTCTGCCTTGAGGGGTAGCGGCGTGAATCCCCCCTGTTAGCTCTTAGCCACATCGCGTCCTCAGCTTCTCGAGACATGGCGCTAGATCTGCAGGCTTCCCAATCCGGCATCACGTCAATGGAATGCACGTTACTCATCTCGACGGCGTTTCAACCGACTCTTTTCTCGTGCAGCCATCACCGACTTCTCTCACCTCTTGACACTCCTTCACGCCCGCCAATGCTCGCCAGATGCGCTTGCTTGGTCTTCCCGCGCGACAAAGAGACGGCGCCTTCCTGCCATACTCTCGGCCGTATCCTTATCGATCTAACCTACTCGAACCCACAACGGGCCCTATTCAACGGCCATTCGGTGCATGGTTCCCTCCTAGCTCAAGGCCACCTAGCACTATGACCGCCTAATTGTGCACGACATTGCTTTTCCTCCGATGAAGATGCTGTCACCAGGCCTCTGATTTGCCATCGTCGGGGACGGCTCTGCTCGTGCTATTCCCGACTTCGCCGGGTGATCTGGTCAGGGCAGGCAGATTCGCCTCGTCGGAACCTCCTCACCCTCACTCGCCTTAGGCGGGTCTCACCTGGGATCATTCCAAGATGTGACCATCTATCCAACCCAGGAGGGATCGAAGAGCGAGACTTATCACATTTTATCACTGTCGCATCTTGGGGC